CACAAATCTTCTACAAAAAATCTTTTTTTTAACCATTTCTAGCTTTATATATTTGACATTTTAAAAATAGAACTTTTTAAAGAACTTCTTTCTCTATTTCATTTCAACTTAAAGAACGATTTGTTGTCAATTATGAAAGAGATTTCAGATAGCGATAGCATCAACGAGCAGACAGTTCATCCCTGTTGACACGAGTTCTCGCTAAGGTTTTTTTTAAAATACATTTATTCATGAATAATGTGGTACAAAGAATCCCTAAAACTTCAAGAAAAGAAAAAGAAAGTGGTTTGTGAGTCTAAAGTGGTTTGACTGTATATGACTGTATATGGTTTGGGGTCTAAACTGGTTTGACTGTATATGAAGAAAAAGAACTAATAATTTAAATCCATAAACGATAAAACGTTAGTAGAAAAGGTAAAAAGTAAAAGTAAAAAGTAAAAGTAAAAAGTAAAAGTAAAAAGTAAAAGTAAAAAGTAAAAGTAAAAAGTAAAAGTAAAAGTAAAAGTAAAAAAGTAAAAGTAAAAAGTAAAAGTAAAAAAGTAAAAGTAAAAAGTAAAAGTAAAAGTAAAAGTAAAAAGTAAAAGTAAAAAGTAAAAGTAAAAGTAAAAGTAAAAAGTAAAAGTAAAAAGTAAAAGTAAAAAAGTAAAAGTAAAAAGTAAAAGTAAAAAGTAAAAGTAAAAAGTAAAAGTAAAAAGTAAAAGTAAAAAGTAAAAGTAAAAAGTAAAAGTAAAAAGTAAAAGTAAAAAGTAAAAGTAAAAAGTAAAAGTAAAAAGTAAAAGTAAAAAGTAAAAGTAAAAGTAAAAGTAAAAGTAAAAGTAAAAGTAAAAGTAAAAAGTAAAAGTAAAAGTAAAAGTAAAAAGTAAAAGTAAAAGTAAAAGAGTAAAAGTAAAAGTAAAAAGTAAAAGTAAAAAAGTAAAAAGTAAAAGTAAAAGTAAAAAGTAAAAGTAAAAGTAAAAGTAAAAGTAAAAGTAAAAGTGAAAAGTAAAAAAGTAAAAAGTAAAAGTAAAAAGTAAAAGTAAAAGTAAAAGTAAAAAGTAAAAGTAAAAAGTAAAAGTAAAAAGTAAAAGTAAAAAGTAAAAGTAAAAAGTAAAAGTAAAAAGTAAAAGTAAAAAGTAAAAGTAAAAAGTAAAAGTAAAAAGTAAAAGTAAAAAGTAAAAGTAAAAAGTAAAAGTAAAAAGTAAAAGTAAAAAGTACTCTTTAGTAAAAAGGTTTTCTAGTACCCCTTTGACAAAAAAAACATTCAATTTAACCTAAATAATAAAGATTTTTCGATCTTTAGTTATTTACTAAAGTGGTTTGATTGTATATGAAGAAAAAGAACTAATAATTTAACCGAACCATTGACCTCCCGACTAACTATGGACCATTCCAAACTTCTCACCGACTTTCAAAACGGGACCAAGCCTATTTAAAACCAACCAAGACCGAGCCTACCAAGCCAGGAAATTTTTCACTGATTTCGAAAAGTTATATCGTTTGCATGTTCAAATTCTTGAATCAATTTGCTATGAAATTACTTCGTGAAAAAATCATTTTTCATTTTTTCAACCCGCCGTCATAAGGCGTAGTTTTAGAGTATCGGAAATTGTGTCGTTGTGGCCGAGTGGATAACAACATAACATCTTAGCCAGTCGCCCCCGGTTTGATTTCGGCTAATGCCAACTTTTTCTATTTAACTTGAAAATTTTCGAAACAAAAGCCATTCTGTCAAATTTCAAAACCAAAAAATGAGAAAAAGTTAGGATAACAAAAAATTTTGATTTCAATTTGTGCCCGGTATGACCATGCGGAGTCTGCCAGAAGCCACGCGATTACGCTCTCTGGTGGAGAACACTCACAATTCGAGTTTTCGAAAAACTACTCTGGAATTGCATTTCATAGTGAAAAATATGAATGAATAATGAATCATATATTAAATTTCACAGAATGGTTTTTTTCTTTCAAAAGTTTTCAAGTCAAGAAAGAAAATGAGCGTCGGCAGGAGCCGAACCACGGCTCAACCGCTCGGCGCCTTGGCTCGCTACCCACTTGGCCATGGCGACATATTGCTCATAGCTCTAAAACTGTGACTTACGACGGCGGCTTCTGAAAATGAAAAATGATTTTTTAAGCAGGCAAAGGCAAAGAGGCAAGGACACTTGACACTTGAATCAAGAATTTGAACGCAATCCACACAAACGACATAACCTTTCAGAATCAGTGAAAAATTTGCTATAAAATAGGCTTGATCACGTTTTGAAAATCGGTGATAAGTTCGGAAGGATCTCTAGTAAGATACAGAACTTTTATTTAGTTGGCCATGATGGTCAGGAAATCGTTGCCATAAACTTTACGGTTATGCAAGTCTGAAACCTGGGATTTGTCTAGCAAATCCTTACCAAACCTAGATAAAATTTCTTAAAAACTCGGTTTTGATGCACGCAACTCCTTTACTTTTCTTAAAACAATTTAATCTAGATTTGAGAAGGATTTGTTAGGTCTGAAGCAGTATTTGGCCTTTAAATAGTAAGCAGAATACAGTAATTATTAAAGATTTTTTGGATATTAGACAAAAAAAACAGAATAAAATCGATTATCGTCGAATTTTCCTTAAAACGAGAGAACTTTTGCAAGCTAATGTAATGTTGGCGTAGCCAATTGTTGGCGTAATATTGGCGTAGCCAAAGCTAACCAATTACAAACTGAAGCCTTCAGTTTGTTCAAGCTATCTATTTACTTTATTGTTTATTTCAATTGTATTTGGTATTAAAAGATGAAATCAGCTTTTTAGATGAGTTTTTCAGCTAGTTTTAGTCTAATAGGATTTAAAATTTCGGGGTAAGCTAATTTTCACAATTTTTTTTGCGCAACTCGCCATAACTTTCTTCTAAGTGAACCAATCTTTATAATTTTGGTGTGATTTTGTAGATCTCAATAAGTGTAACAAAATGAAACCAAAATCATAAAGATTGGTCCACTTAAAAGAAAGTTATGGCGAGTTGGGCAAAAGTAGCTACCCACGGAGATTTTGTTAGATTTAGATGTTAGATTCTTTTTTGCTCTCTTCCATTCCGTTCTAGAGAGAGTTGATTGTAGTTTTCAAATCCACAATAATTCTACATTAACCTTGTTCCTCAAGTACTTTAAACTTGAAAATTTATAAACGCACTTCTCCCGGCACACTTTTCTTACGATTTCTTACGATTTGATTGAAACGGTAAGAATTTTTTGAGTTATCAATGCATCAGAAAAGCTGCATTTATCTGATTTTGGGAACAAATTATATCAAAAAGATCTAAATCTAACAAAATCTCCGTGGCTAGCTACTTTTGCCCAACTCGCCATAACTTTCTTCTAAGTTGGGCAATCTTTATGATTTTGGTGTCATTTTGTTGCACTTGTTAAGATCTGCAAAATGACACAAAAATCATAAAGATTCACTCAATTAGAAGAAAGTTATGGCGAGTTGCGCAAATGAGCCAGTTGCGCAACAGGGGCATTTGCGCAACTCGCCATAACTTTGGAACTCGAAAATTGGATCAATTAAAGCTATTCATTTTTTAAAGTCTAGGATTTATCTAATCCTAGTACCTAATTAAAACTAGGATTTAGCTTTTAGATAAATTTGGAAATCTATTAGCACATTGATGCTAAATTATTAATAAATCTTACTTTATCCATTTCCACGTAAGACTTCATCAAAAAAAATTTATATTATTAAACCTATACGCCGATAATTTTAGTGAAAAACGGTACTAATTCGAATTTTTTATTCGAATTCGAACTCGTTCTTTAAAGATAGAGATTTTTGAAGATTAGGAAAGCTTTTTGGTTACTGCTTCAGACCTAACAAATCCTTCTCAAATCTAGATTAAATTGTTTTAAAAAAAGTACTAAGATAGTTGGAAAGCATCTTTTTTTTTCTTCAAATCCAATTTTTCTAGGGGTATTTTTATGCGTACATTTCGAAAAACATAATGAGAGCTTAGGAAAATGCGTTTTTAGCCTACTTTCGGGGCTTCAAAGTGAGCGCTTCTATAGTGTTCGTCACTATATTGAGCTCAAGCTATCGACTATCGACTATCGACTTTTCAAGGGCAAAACTAGAACGAAAACTATTTTTAACCACTAAATATTCATTTTCCTAACTTAACGAGAGCTTGAAAAAAAGGTGTTTTAAGCCAGGTTTTCGAGGCTTCAAAGTGCGCACACATACAGTTTCATGAGAGGGATACACATAGGCAAAAGGTCTAAAAATGATTTCACAAAACATTTTTTGAAGTCAAAAACACTTCTTCTTGTAGAATTTTATCTACTGATTACTTTTATGATCAAATTGAAATAAAGCAAAATAAAGAAAAGATTTTCTTTCAAATTTCGACCATATGCTCCTCCAAATGAGTGAAAATTCAAAAATCTTTTTTCAATCTGCCTCTACCAGTCAATTTAAGTTAGGAAAATGAATATTTAGTGATTAAAAATAGTTTTCGTTCTAGTTGTGACCTTGAAAAGTCGATAGTCGATAGTCGATAGCTTGAGCTCAATATGGTGAAGTCCACTGTAGAAGCGCTCACTTTGAAGCGCCGAAAGTTGGCTTAAAACGCATTTTCCTAAGCTCTCATTGTGTTTTTCGAAATCTACGCATAAAATTACCCCAGAAAAAGTGGTTTTGAAGAAAAAAAAAGATGCTTTCCAACTATCTTAGTACCAGTTTTTTTTTCATTATTTTTCCTTTTCACTTTGCGTACTTTAAAAGCTTGAGCTTTCAAAGATTTCCCTGATGTGCACATAGAAGTAAGTAAGCAAGGAAGAAAGGAAGAAAGGAAGAGACAAAAGTGCCAAGGTCGGGAATCTGATCTTCTACGTTTTCTGGCAAAAACCAAATCCAGAATGGAGAGAGGCTTTTGAAGTCTTTCACCCCTCTGTCCCTTCTCGAATGCTGGGGGCGGTGCCTGAGATCCCCAGCCTTCCATCCTTCCATCCTTTCCCATCCCACCGCAGAATGCGATGAAGCATCGGGGATGCATCGCGACCGTCCCGTGGTCCTCCCTGTTTCCACCGAACGCCTTCAAGCCCCACGCTATCGCCGTATTTCTGCTATATGTGCTCAAGCAATTACTTCAACAGTTGCAATTCCGACAGGCAGTAATCAAGTTCTTTAGCACTGTAAAGCACCGCTTGCACACATGCAAAACATCTAAAATCCTATTTCTTTCTAATCTTTCTATAAAATCTGATACTGATAAGGTTTAAAATGAAAGTACAATGAAAGAAAACGAAGATTTCTAAGTCAAGAGACAAGTCAAGGATTAGATTGATTTATCTTTAGCTTCCATTTGATCTTTGCATGGATTTGTTCTAGAAAATTAGCTATAGAAACAATTCTAGTATTGATAAATGAGATCTTACAAACAAAGCGAAGATTTCTAAGTCAAGAATGAAGTCAAGGATTAGATTGACTTATCTTTAGCTTTGATTTGATCTTTAGCCTTGATTTGTTCTAGAAAATTAGTCATAGAAACAATTCTGGTATTGATAAATGAGATCTCTTTTAAATCCAAAGCTATCAGCTTCATTTAATCAAAAGTTTATTATATAAATTCTTCTATATTTCTTTTTCTACATTAGTTTTTAGTTGGCTTTCGATTTTTTTTTTCAAAACGATTTCTTCAAATATGGGTTTGAAAGGGGTAATTTCTGAGATAATCGTTGATTCTGTAGAGAAAAGAAAAAGGCCTCAACACTATAAAAACCTTGAATGTGCTTTGGGATTTGCAATTTCGATGATCTCTTGGCCACAAACGGGAGAGATGTGCCTCATTAGAGCTCTTCTTCTGTCCTTTCTTTCCCTTACCCATCGAAATCTCGATGAATATTTGATTGCCCCCACCATTTTCCACCAAAAGATAAACTAGGTAAAAGAGTTGTGATTTAGGAAATAATGGATAGGATTTTAAAAGTCTAGTAATTAGTAATAAGAAATCTTGGAAGTGGGACAAATGCGACCTTTTTTTGCGCACCTGGACATTTGCGCACCTTTTTTTTGCTGGAAAAGGCCTTAGGAAAAGTCGTAGAGCTTCAAAAACGTTTTCATAAAGGGAATCGTATGCGTAGATTCCGAATTTCGACAAATCAGACCTCGCTGACACGTCAAATTTGGGCTAAAAGGCAAAAACTACGCAACTTAACGCTTTTCCGCAGTTTTTGCCTTTTAGCCCAAATTTGACGTGTCAGCGAGGCCTGATTTGTCGAAATTCGGAATCTACGCATACGATTCCCTTATATGGAAATATTGTCAAAGCTCTACGGTCTTGCCTAAGGCCTTTTCCAGCAAATGTCCAGGTGCGCAAAAAAGGTAGCATTTGTCCCACCCCCGAAATCTTTAAGCATTTCCAACTCAATCAACTATCAGATTTAAAGATAGATCTAGCAAGATTCTTGTTAATAACCTGGCAAGGTTTTGTTTGTAAGCCGGAGTCAAGGAATCAAGTCCTGCCTAGTTTCCAGCGACTTGAGACTTTAGTAGGCCATGCAGCAATACCAAGCCAGATTTCTAGTCTAGTCTTATCCTTGCTTAGCTGATCTAAACCAAGATTGAAACATTTCCAGCATCAGACTTGCAAAAATGAAAGAATTTTTAGGAACGAAAACAAATTCCCTTAATTTTCAGGAACACCGCGAGCGATGTCGGGGAAGGAGCGATCGGAGCCTCAATGGGTAACCCCATCGTCCAATCAGGTAGCACGGCAAGTGCGTACGGTGACACGATTTCGTTTTTTTCAATTTCACTTTATGGTCAGCGTTCGGATGGGGTGAAATTCATAGTAGATTCCAAATTGTTGCAATTCCGGAGTCAAGAAGTCAAGTCCTGTCAAGTTTCCAGCGACTTCAGACTTTAGTAGGTCATGCAGATCATGGGGCTTCTTGAAGAGCACAAGACATTGCAGCTGACTTCAATAAGTTGTATTATAAGTTAGCTTTTTATAGCTTTGAGATCCTAGTCTTGTCTCAGTTTAATCAAGAAATGAAGGAGTTGACAAGAAAAAGTAGAAGGGATTGAACCCTCGCTTTCCGAGCAATGACTCTAACCACTCAGCTATCCGGTACCTTAACTTACCAAGAGAAAAAGGGAAAGTCAAGAAAGGAAGAAGGAAGTTCATAGCTTTGATTCCAATAGTCTAAATAGTTAAATGGCTTAAGAATGGCTTAGGCTTAGGCTTAGGCTTTAGGCTCTGGCTTAGGCTTAGACTTAGGCTTAGGCTTAGGCTTAGGCTTAGGCTCAGGCTCAGGCTTAGACTCAGGCTTAGGCTTAGGCTTAGGCTTAGCAGCTGATAAGGCCAAACAAAATGAAAGTACCATTTCCCGGGGTTTCCGAACGTTGGCCCTTTCACCCACACATGAATGAGATTTGGAAAGAAAACACTTGCACATCAGCACTGCGAGCTTTTCAGCAAAGAGTTCATACCATTTCTCAACTAAAATTCTTTAACTTTTTAATCTTTCATAGTACTTTAATCCCTTTTCTATTAGATTTTAACCGAACATAGACTTGGTGTGAACTCTTCTTTGGCTTTTTTTAAAGTATAGCTTTTTAAGGTGAATTCTGTTGTAAAAAAAATATATTAGTAACTTTAAATTAAAAATTTCAATAGTTTTCTCTAAAACTTTCACTTTTTTAAATGTTAGAAAGCACTTTAGAAAAGACTTTCCGGTTGAAAAATTGAGATTGATTTGAGTTGAGTGAAATTAGGTTACAAGGCTTTGTTTTGAGTTACAAAGCTGTTTTAGAGTAAGTTACAAGGCTGTTTTAGAGTAAGTTACAAGGCTGTTTTAGAGTTACAAGGCTTTGCTTAGAGCTTTGAGCTTTTTTAAGAACTTCCATAAATTGGCTATAGAGAAAACTATAGGAAATTAAAATGAAATTAAGATATGAAACTAGTTAACCGGAAAGTCACTTCAACGCACCGCTTCACTTTATTTTCCGTGTGCGCTTCTCTTCGTGGTTCGGCTCTCTGCACAAACTGGCTTTCAAAAAAAAAAGAAAAAGCACGAGAATCACACATGCACCTGGCCTTTTATATTGTTTTTCTATAGAATTTGAATTGATTTTTATTTGTCTAGGATGTTCCACCGGATTATGAAACGATTGGAACAATCTTCGGATATGCTCTAGTTGTTCTCTCATGGATTCTCATCATTATCACTTTTCCCTTCTCAATGTGTGTTTGTCTCAAGGTAAAGTATGATTTTAGTTCTTAAATCTAAAGATATTCAAGCTATTCAAGCTATAATAATGATAAGCTCAATCAAACGAGATTTCTATTTCATGTGTGCAGTGCGTGAGAGGGTACTGATGGGGCAATGATTATTTAGATATTGATTCCGAATATAGTACATCTAGCGTAGTATAGTACTAGTACCGAAGTATAGTCTAGTACTGAATATAGTACATCTAGCGTAATGTAGTGCCAAATATAGTACATCTAGCGTAGCATAGTACCGAATATAGTACATCTAGCGTAGTAGTACTAATAGTACCGAAGTATAGTACTAGTACCGAATATAGTACTAATCTAACGAGAAATAGTACAATATAATAATACAATAAAATAGAATCAATCGTTTGGTTCAGTGTGTCAAAGCTAAACGAGAAAGAATACAAAGTGGGCTCCGTCAAACTCCTAAAAATTTATCACACAAACGATCTTTAAGAGAGAAATAGTACAATAGAATAATAGAATAAAAGAGAACAAGAGAAAGGACAAGAGAACCATAGCTATTCAAAATCAAAGCATCAAATAAGATTTCACAGAAAAGAGCTACTTTTCTAAGTTTGTTTCTAAGAAAAGTATCTAGATTTTCTTAAAACTTGAAATTTACTCTTTAAACTTTAAATTCTCACTTCCCACCAAATAACTTTCAGAAAATAACCGACTTTAACTTTATATTATTAATATAAATACTATAGATCTATAAATATTGTCTCTTGCTGTAAAACTTACCGCCATCTTGCCCCTAACTTTCACTAAAACCAATACCAACTCTCCAAGTACCCATCTTCCCACACCAATATTGGTACCACCATTACTTTCTGTCAAATATTCCTCCTTTTCCTTTCTCTTCCTTTGATGAGCCAAGCAATTTCCCCCGACTTTGGTCCTTCTTTTTTCCTCTTTTGACGCATGTTCACCAATCGATGCTTGCTGGGGAAAGATGGATAATAGGTGGCTTTCAAAATGTCTTACGGATATGTATGAGTTCTTTGGGGAAAATTTAAAGAAGATGGGAATGAAAATGACTCCAATTTTTGCTCTTTACAGGAATTCTCCAAACAGGAACAGCAAATCAAAATGGTTAACAGTTAAAAGTAAAGCAGAAAGTGTTCTTTTTCTTGATTGCAACTAATTAACTAACAAATTCTTATCTACCCAAATGATAGCCAAGTCTAGAGTTTATCCAAAGCTTTAACAGCTAAAGAAAAGCTGCAATTAGCTTAACTACAATTGTAGAAAAACTACAATTAGCTAAATCTTATCGCTTAAACATTCTCAGTGTCTGAACTGATCTTAAAAGCTCTGATTGTATCTCTCTGATCTTTCTTTTGAAGAATTTGAACTCTCAACCAGATTCCCCAAAAATTTCAATCAATTCCCCCAAGCGAAACACGAGTTTCACGGAAGAGTGTGGCACAATGCTAATTGTGTGAAGTGGGCTCTACTTTTACAAATCAAAATGGTTAACAGTTAAAAGTAAAGCAGAAAGTGTTCTTGTCCTTGATTACAACTAATTAACTAACAAATTCTTATCTACCCAGATGATAGCTAAGTCTAGAGTTTATCCAAAGCTTTAACAACTAAAGAAAAACTAAAATTAAGCTGCTAAACCTTATCGCTTAAACATTCTCAGTGTCTGAACTGATCTTAAAAGCTCTGATTCTATCTCTCTGATCTTTCTTTTGAAGAATTTGAACTCTCAGCCAGATTCCCCAAATTTTAATCAATTCCACCTAAGCGAAAAACGAATTTCACGGAAGAGTGTGGCACAATGCTAATTGTGTGAAGTGGGAAGTGGGCACTTCTACAAACCACCCAAAAACGGAGAGCCTTATCGAGAATCCCGCCGAGATTTGTTTTGAGTGGATTAAAAATAAAAGAATTTCAGGAGTACTCGTTTACTTGTACATTTAAGCATTTGGTAACAGTGAAAGCGCAAAAACTTGAGTCTCACTTAAGCTTAGAGCAAGTTAACTTTTGTTATTGAACTTGTAACTTTAGTTTAGTTTAGTTTAGTTTAGTCTTTAGCTTAGCCAACTTTAAGTCAAAAATACTATGCTTAAGCTATTAATAGTTAGCATTCTTTTGCCTTTTAACTTTATAGAAATGTTGCAAAGTTTGTAAAAGCTTTGGGGAGTCTGGAATAGCTTGAGAAGTCAAGCTTAGAGTCTAAATTGTATTCAAATGTTTCAATTTTGATACTATAATGTTGTGTCAAGTCATTCACTCTAGATCTTCACTCTAGAACTTAAACATTGCAAAGTTAAAACTTAGAAAGTCACTTCTAGACTTTCTAAGTCTAGAAGCGACTTAGAAAGTCTAGAAGCGACTAAACTTAGAAAATAGCTTCCAGACTTGAACCTAAAATCAAAATAGCATTCAAGGCTTTATTTTAATGTGTTATTAAAGTTTATTTCTTTTAATGTCTTATTTTTTTCATCCTTTTATACCTAAATCTTTTCATTTCCTTTTATTTTATCTAAAACGAATCAATTCTTGCATTTAAACGTGTCCCATGAGGCCAGCATTGGGATTTCAGAGATATTTGAGATTTGGTGAGACGTGGGAATCCCTTTCCCCAAAAAACCTTTTGTTTTCTGTGTTTAGACGCATCTTTTCTTTTGACTTGCCAAAAAAAAAACTCGGGAAGTATCGGGGAAATTTGGGGAAAAAAGACTCACCAAAAGCTCTTTTTCCCTATCTCTTTTTCCCAAAAGCTCACCGAAATCGAATTCTGTGATTTTTGCCAAGCCACTGAGCGCCACTGAGCGCCACTGAGCGCTTTTCCCTTCAACAAAATATCAGGGTGACTATACAGATGTAGTAAAGAGGCTATTCTTGACTTTTAAGAAAGAAAAGAAGATAAGTATGGGTTAGGTGTGAAGTCGATGTCTAAAAAGTGATCAAAAGCTATATGAAACTTTCATAGATCACTCAAATGTTCGTTTTAGTTTAAGAATAGAGTTTTAAATTCAATGAGTCATTCAGTGAGTCAAGAATGTTTTCTTAAGAACCTACACTACTGGACAATGAAATATGATATTTGAAAAACGATCGTCACTTTCGCACGTCTGTAACTCCCTTGTCTTTGAGTTTAAACTATTAGTGTTATACATTGTTATCTATAGATGTAGAAAACAAAGGATTAAGCTGTTCAGAAGCTATATTAAGCTGTTTAGAAGCTATATTAAGCTGTCCAGAAGCTACACTACTGAACAATGAAATATCATATTTGAAAAAACACTTTCGCACTTTCGCACGTCTGTAACTCCCTTGTCTTTACCGTATTTCTAAATATTAATATTACCATTGTGTAGCCCTTGAAAAGAGCTTTTAGAAAATGTATAACACTAATAGTTTAAACTCAAAGACAAGGAAGTTACAGACGCGCGAAAGTGACGATCGTATTTTTCAAATATAATATTTCATTGTCCAGTAGTGAACATATAAATACATGCAAGATAGTGCAATACTTTTTCATTTTACTTTTACTTTCAATTTTAACACCTTTACATCATTCAATTGATTTAAAAAACTTTAACTTTAACTGTCGACTGAAGATTTTCTTTATAGATTTATAGATATTCTTGACTCACTGAATGACTCATTGAATTTAAATCTCTATTCTTATGGCCATAGAAATGGTTATAGATGATATTTCATTGTCCAGTACTGCTTTTAAAAACTTCTTTTTTCATTAGATTTCACGATTTTAAACCGACAAACTTATAGAATTTACAGAAAAATTAAAATTTAAAGCAAAACTAAAGCAAAACTCTGAGTTTGTATTTATAAATTATAAATTATAGTATTATAATTGTAATTTTTTGCAATAAATTTGTAATAATCTTTCTCTAACATTTTCCGAAAGAAAAATCCATTTGAAGATCCAAAATTGGAGAGTTCATTTGGGTCTCCATTTCGGCTGGGGGAATGTGGAATGTGTGTGAAATTGACGAGCAACGAATCCATTTACGGCACCCATGGGGCACACAAACAAAAGAAAGAAATAAAAAGAAATAAAAAGACCATCGTTTAAAGGGAAACTAGCTTTCCCCAAAAAATCATTTGATAGGGTTCATTATTTTCATTATCCAGAGATATCCAAAGCCTTATTAACTTTTATAACTTTATGCAGCTAATAAAAGATTCCAGTTTGGCAAGTTTTTGGTTCAGTTTAGGTTTAAAGGCAAGGTTTAAAAGGTTTCAACTTAGAAAGTATTACTTCTTAGCTTCTTCTTCAGTGAATTCTTGAGAGTTGAAGTTCTATGAGCTATGAGACGAGTTCTATGAGCTATGAGCCGAGTTCTATGAGCTATGAGACGAGTTCTATGAGCAGAGCCGGTTCTTGAGCTATGAGACGATTCTATGAGCTATGATACGAGTTCTATGAGCTATGAGCCGAGTTCTATGAGCTATGAGACGAGTTCTATGAGCTATGATACGAGTTCTATGAGCTATGAGCCGAGTTCTATGAGCTATGAGACGAGTTCTATGAGCTATGAGATGACGAGATCAAATTCATTGACTGATTTAACAACTGCTATTAAAATTTGAACTATTACAAAACTAAACCAACAAGTAGACACTCTTAACCAAAATCATTTCTATAAGATAATGATTAATAAGGCAAGTTAGATAGTTAAATTGTTAAATTGTTAAATAAAGGCAAGTTAAATGCTCCTCTTGACATAAAGGCAAGTTAAATGCTCCTCTTGACTCTAAAATCTATTTTTGAAAATCTGTATATATCAGTTGTTTTCGCCCGCATTTCAGTCTATCTTAAAAAAGAATCGCTCGGGTAAAAATAGGAAATCGAATTTGTGAAAGCGAGAAGAAAAGAGAAGAGATGAGAAGCCGAAATTCACAAGGGAATCCGGCAAAAGAGAGTATCGGAGAAGAATCGGAGGATAGCAAAACATCAAAACAAGGATTTTACCTAGAAATGTTATAAGAAAAAGTTAGGAAGTACGAGAAATGTGCTGGCAATTAAACTGGCAATCAAGCAATTAAACCAATTTCTAGGTCATCAAAGAGTATGAGAGAGTCGTCATCTTCCGTATTGGTCGTCTCGTTTTTGGAGGAGCTCGTGGACCGGGAATGATCTTTATCATTCCTTGCATAGACACTTATAGAAAGATCGATCTTCGGTGAGTTTTCTCACTTGAGATTTATCAACTCGGAAACGAGTTGACTTAAAGCTTGATGAGTTGACTTAAAGCCGAGTCTTTGATTGACTCAGCTTTGGAAGCTACAGTAGGCAAGCTTTTATTGCATTTAACTAAAAAGGAACTATCATTTTTGAAGCTTTAAATCAAACGAGAATTGAGTGAAAGAAATGCATTGAAAACTCGTTTTCAGTGTTGTTTCCTATGCTGTCCCTCCACAAGAGATCCTCTCAAAAGATTCAGTGACAGTGTCCGTGGACGCTGTCGTTTATTTCCGTACATCTGATCCGATCGCTTCGGTGAACAATGTGGATGATGCTATCTATTCCACAAAACTCCTTGCTCAAACAACTCTGAGAAACGCTTTGGGTGAGTTCAAGCTCTATTTGTTCAAGGTTTTTAGTCATACAAAGTCATACAAAGTTCTAATTGCTTCTAACTTTTTGCTTATAATTCTTAAACTTAAACTCTAACTTTAAGAAAAGTTGTTTATATTTAAATTTTAAAGTTTAAGAAAAGTGAAATACTTTTAAAAACCTACAAAATGAAACATACGTTGCTCCTATCTTAAACTCTAACTTTAAGAAAGGTTATAAAGAATGCTTTTACTTTTAAAAAACCTATTGAATACAATTTCAGGTATGAAAACCCTCACAGAAATGCTGACAGAACGTGAGGCGATCGCGCAACTTTGCGAGACGATTCTCGATGAGGGAACCGAGCATTGGGGAGTTAAGGTAATAAAAATTTACCCAATTCTTCCCAAATAGCTAAACACATCAATGGAATTTCAGGTAGAAAGAGTGGAGGTGAAAGACATCCGTCTCCCCCAACAACTCACTCGAGCTATGGCTGCTGAAGCCGAGGCCGCTCGAGAGGCTCGTGCCAAAGTTGTCGCCGCTGAAGGAGAGCAGAAGGTAGAAATTTTGGAAGATTATTTGATTAAATTTCGAAACTTTAGGCCTCTCGTGCTCTTAAAGAGGCCGCTGATGTGATCCAAGCAAATCCGGTTGCTCTTCAACTCCGTCATCTTCAAGCGTTGAGCTCTATTGCGTGAGTTTTTGAGAACTTGATAAATAGATAGATAGATATATAGATAGATATCTAGATAGATATATAGATATATATATATATATATATATATAAGAATTTAAACTAAGTTCATTCAAAAGTTAGTAATTAACAGAAAGTACTCTAAATTTGCCATTAAAAGTTTAAAGTTTATAGAAAATCTGAAACTTTTAACTTAGATTATTAAAATATTGTATCTTGATATAGAATTTAAAAGGGTTAACAGTTAAAAGTAAAGCAGAAAGTGTTCTTGTCCTTGATTGCAACTAATTAACTAACAAATTCTTATCTACCCAGATGATAGCCAAGTCTAGAGTTTATCCAAAGCTTTAACAGCTAAAGAAAAGCTACAATTAAGCTGCTAAATCTTATCGCTTAAGCATTTTCAGTGTCTGAACTGGTTTTAAAAGCTCTGATTGAATCTCTCTGATCTTCCTTTTGAATGAATTTGAACTCTCAACCAGATTCCCCAAATTTCAATCAATTCCCCTAAGCGAAAAACGAATTTCACGGAAGAGTGTGGCACAATGCTAATTGTGTAAAGTGGGCTCTACTTTTACAAATCAAAAGGGTTAACAGTTAAAAGTAAAGCAGAAAGTGTTCTTTTCCTTGATTACAACTAATTAACTAACAAATTCTTATCTGCCCAGATGATATCCAAGTCTAGAGTTTATCCAAAGCTTTAACAACTAAAGAAAAGCTACAATTAAGCTGCTAAATCTTATCGCTTAAACATTTTAAGTGTCTGAACTGATCTTAAAAGCTCTGGTTGAATCTCTCTGATCTTTCTTTCCAGTTAACAGTTAAAAATAAAGCAGAAAGTGTTCTTGTCCTTGATTACAACTAATTAACTAATAAATTCTTATCTACCCAGATGATAGCCAAGTCTAGAGTTTATCCAAAGCTTTAACAACTAAAGAAAAGCTACACTTTATCATAAAGTCGATGGGAAATCTTAAGTTCTGATATAATTGTCAAGATTTCAGTGCCGAACACAACTCGACAATCGTTTTCCCGGTGCCCGTCGAGATGTTTGGAGCTTTTATGAAAAAAGAAAACTAAAATTTTCTTTCTTTTCTTACTGTTCTTTCAATTTCAAAGAAAAACGAATTTTTGGGTACAGAGCTTATAAAAAAAGAATCTAATCTAATCTAATCATTTTTCTATCATTTTTCTAATTAATTTCTTTCTAAAAGATGACTGTTGTACAGTAATTTGATGAGAAGTATACTTTGTACTCTCATAAACACAAGCTTTCTTACAAACTCTCTTGCAAACGCAAAATCTAAGCCAGATACGATACGTTTCTCATTTCTCGAGCACAAAGTATCGCTTGTCATTTGTTAAATCCGATGTGTGGACTGCCACAATTCTTTGCTATAATCTGGGATTTCTGATTTTCTATATTTTTTATTTTTATATTTTTATCATAAAGCTTTAAAGTCAAGTATCTTGTCTAAAGTTTTAATCATTTTTTTTCCTTTTTTTTTTGAATTCACCTCATTTATAGGTTTTCTTTTGTCTTAAATTCTTAGCTCTCCGATTTTTTTCAGTCTTTAAACATCAAAATATACAAATTTCTGTCTCTGGTGAATAAATTATGAAAATTTTCAAAGAAAATAACAATTTAAAGTTTCCTTTAACTCTTCTTTTAACAGTTTTTCGAAGTTTAATTGAATTTTGTGTTTGAAAATCACAACAGTAAATGTATTTGGTTCTAATCAGATCGTTTCACGACGAATTCTTCAACCAGATCAAAACCTAGTTCCTAACAGAACCTGCTTTTGCTTTTCTGCAAGTCAGTGAGCAATCATTGTTGAAACAAGGTATCACGAGTGAAATTCCGATAACTACCTGGCTCTTCTCAAGGATGCCATAAAGTCGATGGGAAATCTTAAGTTCTGATATGATTGTAAAAGATTTCAGTGAATTCTTCAACCAGACAAAATCTAGTTCATAACAGAACCGGCTTTTGCTTTTCTGCAAGTCTACACAGTGAGCAATAATTGTTGAAACAAGGTATCACGAGTGAAATTCCGATAACTACCTGGCTCTTCTCAAGGATCAACTCTTGCCCTAGACTCGTAAAAATTTTTGAAATCACATTTGGACTTATCAGCAAGAACCCACAAATCCAAGAAAGTCCAAGAGTTCTGCTAAAACAACTTCCCGGACTTCATTTCTTTTTTTGAGTGCCACCTGCTCAACTCAATGGATTTTTCAGCTTCTAGAAAGTTCTAGAAGCCAAAGCTTGTTCAAAGCCCCACAAAAACATCGAAAGCTTGAAGAAATCACGGTTGAAAAGAAATCACAGTCTATTTGGTTCAGGTTGAAAGAGCCCGATCCAGCCACCGTTGACGCCTTCTCAAAACGCCTGTGAGCCTGCTTAAATGCTAATGGTGGATTGAATTTGATAGTTCATTTATAATTGTTAATGTACAATAAATGTTATTCAGCGATTACAAGATAATCGGTTATCAATTCAAAGAGGAATCGACACAGAAATAGGAACGAGTCGAGGATTTGTTCTATTTCGAAGGATCAAAGGTGGGCTTTTGATTGGATAAGATTACATAAGTTAAAACTAGCTTCACTACTTTGAGCTGTAGATTTTCATTACTGTTTAGAGGTGCTAAGAAATCTAAAGTCCTAGAGATTTATGTTATGACATCTTGACAACAATTTCACGAAGCTTGTAGCTTTATAAATTAGATATTGTCCTTGCAGATTCCTGTAGATTGTCCTTTTAAATTATTGTTTATAAGTTTAAGAAATCTAAAGTCATAGAGATTTATGTTATGACATCTTGACAACAATTTCACGAAGATTGTACACTTTACAAATTAGATATTGTCCGATTTATTTGCAGCTGCTTCAATGCAAGCAAAACTGTAAAATTTCCCAGGTTGGCCGTGGCAGGTATGACCTTTTTTCAAAGCAATCCCAAAAACGCAAAACGAACGATATCCGAAGAAAGAATACGCGCTGAAATTGATTGAAGGGAATGGCTTCTCGACGAGTGCTTGCAGAGAAATCGCATTGTTGAGAGAGCTCAAGTAAAACTGTTATTAGATTTTATTGCTTCTATCAATGATTATCTAATTTTCAATTCAAATATGAATTTTACTACACCTTATCCATTCGTTTATCATTTTATTGGGAATTTAGGTGCTCCGTTATACTTCTGTTGTTATACTGTCGTTGTTCTGCAACAAATTCTTTTTATTCTAAGGAGATCTTTTCTCCTTATCAAATTTGTATATGAAATGTAGTACTATTATGGTCACTTGTTGATTTTTCTTGCAAAGAGATAAAACTTTAAAGTTTGGTGATAAAAGTTAAGCTTTATAAGAATATTGATGCATATTGGTAAAATGAATTTTTTGACAAGCGCGCTCATGACGACTCAAAAGACTCAGCCAGTTTTTTAGCCGGGTTTTTCAGCTGCTTTTAACAATAAAAAGTGACTATCACTTGCATTGAGCTTTGAATCATCAAACGAGAATTGAGTAAATCAAATCCTCTAACTCAATGACGGTCAAAACTTGTTTTCAGTGTTTTTTCCTATGCTGTCCCTTCATAAAAGATTTAGTGACAGTGTCCGTGGACGCTTTCGTTTATTTCCGTACATCTGATCGCTTTGATGAATAATGTGGATGCTGCCAACTATTCCACGAAACTTCTCGCTCAAACAACTCTGAGAAACGCTTTGGGTTAGTTGAAGCATTTTAATGATACAAAATGAAACATACGTTGCTCCTATCTTAACTCTAACTTTAAGAAAGGTTATAAAGAATGCTTTTACTTTTAAAAAACCTATTGAATACAATTTCAGGTATGAAAACCCTCACAGAAATGCTCACAGAGCGTGAGGCGATGGCGCAACTCTGCGAGATGATTCTCGACGAGGGAACGGAGCATTGGGGAGTTAAGGTAATAAAAATTTACCCAATTCTTGCCAAATAGCTAAACACATCAATGGAATTCGAGGTAGAAAGAGTGGGGGTGAAAGACATCCGTCTCCCCGAACAGCTCACTCGAGCTATAGCTGCTGAAGGATGATTTTATTTTTCCGCCCAAATTATGTTCTCCACCTTAAATACCTTATCTTAAAAACAACCTAAAAACATCTTAAAAGCCTAACCAATAAAAACTCCTAAAACACACCACTCACCCGTGTCTCGACTACGGTAGCCTATCCGCGCAAATCTTTCCGAATCCTTTTTAGTCAACGCCCAATCGCAACAATTCACAGCGATCAGACTCATCTAATGCTTTCGAAAAGGATTATTTGACTTGTTGCAAGATGATCGATTATCAATTTAAAGAGGAATTGACACAGAAAAGGGAACGAGTCGAGGATTTGTTTTATTTCGAAGGATCAAAGGTGGGCTTTTGATTGGATAAGGGAATTTGCAGAAGTTAAAACTAGTAACTACTTTGCGCTGTAGATTTTCCCTTTAAATTACTGTTTAGAAGTATTATCCAATCTAAGGTTTAAATCTAAATTCCTAGAGATTTATGTTATGATATCTTGACAACAAGTTTCACGAAGCTTGTACTCTTTATAAATTAGATATTGTCCTTGTAGATTCCTGTAGATTGTCCCTTTAAATTATTGTTTAGAAGTTTAAGAAATCCAAAGTCATAGAGATTTATGGCATCTTTGACTTGACAACAAGTTTCACGAAGCTTGCTCCATTCGGTTTATAAGTTAGGTATTGTGCAATTCATTTTTTATTCAATGTAAACAAAATTATATAATTTTTTCAGGTTGGCCGTGGCACGTATGGACTCGTTTTTAAAGCGATCCCAAAAACGCAAAATGAACGATATCCGATGAAAGAATACGCGCTGAAATTGATTGAAGGGAATGGCTTCTCGACGAGTGCTTGCAGAGAAATCGCATTGTTGAGAGAGCTCAAGTAAGACTGTTATTAGATTTTATTGCTTCTATCAATGATCATCTAATTTACAACTCAAATATAATCCTTCAGACATCCAAATCTTATCCGATTGCAACGGGTTTTTCTGACAAACGAGAAGAAAGTGTGGCTACTCCTTGACTACGCAGAGCACGATTTATGGCATATCATCAAATATCACCGGAGTAAGTAGACGATTCAAGATCTTCAACGATTTCCATAGCTTCCATGAAAAGTTGACTTTAATCAACCATTTCCAGGTGCTAAGACCAAGAAGCAACCAGTCCTTGTGCCACGAGGAATGATCAAATCCGTGTTGTATCAAATTTTGGAGGGAATTCACTACTTGCATCAGAATTGGATATTGCACAGAGATCTTAAACCGGCAAATATTCTTGTGATGGGCGAAGGACCGGGTGTACAAAGGGGAAGGTGGGATTTTGAGGTTGAAAGAATTTTGAAATCAAGCTGAAAAAGAGCTTGGTTTGGCTTCACTTGTCTTGGCTTGCAATTTAGAGCTAGAAACAGGACAAACTGCAGAAGTAGTCTATTCTATAGTCAAATCCAGATCTCTTTACCAAGTTTTCATTTCCAGGGTCAAAATCGCCGATATGGGTTTCGCGAGAGTTTTCCACAACCCATTGAAACCGCTAGCCGAGCTGGACCCGGTTGTCGTGACATTTTGGTATCGAGCTCCCGAGCTACTACTTGGCGCTAAGCATTACACAAAAGTGGGTCATTTGATCACAAATCATTCGATTTATTTGAAAACAATCTTTAATTTTTACAGGCTATTGATGTCTGGGCGATTGGATGCATCTTTGCCGAGTTGCTCACTGCTGAACCCGTTTTCTATTGTAATAAGGAAGACATTAAAGCCCAAAGCCCGTATCATCAAGACCAACTGAAAAGGTGAGTAACTAATTTCTTAATTTTCTAATTTACTAGACATATTTAAAGAATATTCAACGTGATGGGCTTTCCCACTGAAAGCGATTGGCCGGATTTGAAGAAAATGCCCGAATGGAAACGACTTGATCAGGATTTTCAGAATAAAAAGATGTGAGTAAATAGAAAATCTTGGTTTTAAGTTAAAGATAATATATTTAAGTAGTGATTTTCTTAAAAGATCTTAAAACAAGGCAAGGTTTAAACAAGCCTGATCTAACAAAGTTCTGGAGTAAGACACAGTTTAAAAAATACCGACTGGGGCTACCAGTGGTGAATTTATCGCATACACGAAATATATCAATCACAATACAACGACACACACAATACTAGGCTATATCTTAACTTAACCCACGTCATGACAGACGGCTCCCTAACCCTAAGCTCAATGGGGAACTAAATAGCTTTTTTGGTGGTGAAGGGAAGATGACGATGAAGGAGTGGCTTGTCACTTTAAAGAACTGAGGCCACAACCACCAGACTGCCCTCCAGAAAACCTCTCAACCCGAAGGGAAAGGAAATCCGAAGGGGGTGACCATGTCGCATGTGGGGTTCGAACCCTCGACCTTCCGATTAAGATAAAAGACACTTAACCAGTCAGCCACACGTGCTTACCACGCCACGCCTGCGTGCACGTGCTGTTTGTTATTTAAGTAGTGATTTAAGATCTTGAAACATTTTGTTAATCAAGTCAAGGCTGACCAAGTTCTGGACTAGTCTGTTAGTTTAACACTCAGGCTTGCAGATCACCAAATAGATAATAATTTAATAAGTTAAGTAAGTTTATATTGCAAAGAATTCTTCAGGTTTGCCAATTGTGCCCTCCATGTATATTTCCAAGACAAGCACATTCAATCCGATCGCCGATATTTCAAGTTGTTAACGAAATTGTTGCGAATGGACCCGGAGAGGAGAATCACTTGTAAAGAAGCGATGGAGGATCCGTATTTCAAGGTAAACATTTTGATTGAAGTGCTATTGGGTGAATGCATATGAAATGGTTAATCCATGTAAGCCCATGTAAATTTCTCCAAAGCAGCTATCTAATTTCTGTTTGGTTAGAATGAAAAGTTAGCTAATAACAGCGGGGTAACTTTTTGAAATGAAGTGATGGAGAACATCGATTTCGATCATTTAAATCAACTCAACTTTGATGTTCTTTTGCGCTAAAGCTCTATTAGCTCAATATTTTTAATCAACATTGGTTCTATTCAAAGATTTCAGCGAATATCAATATGTTTTTTGAGTTTTGAAGATAATTTGAAGCGATAAAGTCTGGGATTTTTTTAATGAATTAACTTTTTAGCAAATTTAACTATTTCATATGCATTCACCGAATAGAAGTATTGAAATATTTTAAAAATTAACAAATTTTCAATTCTAGGAAGATCCGAAACCCACTGAAGACGTTTTCAAAGGCATGGAGATTCCCTATCCAAAGCGAGAGGTGATGAAATGTGATGAGGACAAGAAAACGAATCAAACGCAGCCACAAGGGATCTCAGTGAGTACTAGAGGATTTGTTCAGGATTATTGTCACAAGCTCTCAAAACTTTCGAGCTTTTGAATAGTAACTACAGTATAAAAGCTGGAAAATAAAATCCATGGCTTGACTTACAGGACAATGTCAGCAATCTCGAGGGATCCGAAGCGCCCAATCCCAAGAAAATGCGAATGACTAATCAGGGACCACAAAACAATCAGCCGGTAAGTAAAGTTATGCTAATTTGTATGCAAATTGCATCCTTTTATGCAAATATCAAATTTCCAGATGCCCAGTGGAAGCGACAATTCAAATATGAGCTCTTATCCTCAACAAAATATTCAACAATCTATGCAAACTCAGATGCAACCAATGATGCAACAAATGCAAAACCCTGGTTTGTTCTTTGATAAATAGGTTCAAATTTCTTGACGATAAAGATCCTTTTTTAGACTTTTATGGCTTCAAAATACAAATAGCAGAACTATATTTTAACATCTCTATAACCATTAACTTTTAGGCATGATGCAAAACCCAGTAAAGCCCCAAAATCTGATGGTGAATCAGCCGAAAATGGAGCCAGGCGTTGGGCCGATGGGTGGAATGCAAGGAGGACAACAAATGGCCGGACAAATGTATGGAAATCAACCACCGCCCCAGCAACAACAGTATCAGCAAGGGTATCAACAACAAAATAGTGAGTTTTGAAAGTTTGGAAGTAGAAAGGGTGTTTCCAGTTTTTCCAAAGTGATGTAAAATTTAGATTCGATGATGAACCAACCCGGGAACCCACAAATGATGAGACAGGATATGGGCTACAGTGGACAGCCACTCATGATGTCACAAGGTTAATGAAATCACTTTATCAGCTTGGCTTTCAGCCAAAGCCAAACTATTTGCTGGGTTTTGGCTTGACTTTGCTTGGACAAATTGGTCCTAGGAGATTTGATCCACAAAGCAATAGCATTTTTAATGCAAACTAAAGACCTATTCCAATGAATAATAGATATTACAGGCCAAATGATGATGGGACAACAGGGACAACCGATGATGGGCCAAGGCCAATACATGATACCATCACAAGGACAACAAAGTGCACAACAACCACCACCCGGTCAATGGCCATCCGGATATTAAGAATTGTAATATTGAAAGGTTGGATTGTTCAAGTTGCTATCGGTGTTGTGAAATTGTCCAAATCTGAGTCAGTCTGGATTTGTTGGATTACGGTAGAATCGATTACTGTACAGAATAAGATAAAATAGGATAAAGAAGAATTCAGATTGGCTCTCTATTCAATCAAAAACCAACAAGCTGTTTTAAAACGATTTTAAGCCCATCAAGCTTTGAACAGTTCGTAATTTGTAAAACTTGTACAATTTAGCAATTTTGAAAAAGATATTGAAACCAAAAGCCTATTCTGACTATTTTCTTGAACAATTCAACTTTTTGTTTACCCAAATTTGCTCAAGCAGGCTTGAGCTTTTTGAAAAACGTCAGTTTTTTTATAAGACACCTCAACAAATTCTCTTACGGGCAAACGAAATTCTTTGCACATTTTTCTTGAACATTTTTGCTTTTGTATCTATTTTTTATTTATTTCTTTACACTCATATCATTCGTAGATCTCATCTTTCATCATTTCTTTTTCTGTAACCTCAGAAGTTCTTGTAAGATTATCAAAAGAAATTAATCAAAAACTAGAATGAGTCGAATAAAAGATTTATGTGATTGTGGAAATTGGTTGCATTACATTGAGCAAAGCAAAGAAGCATTTGTTTTCAATTATTTCAAAACAAGATGGATAGTAAGAGAGATTACGGAGGAATGAGTTACGGTGCAGAAGCTGATCAAAGACATTGTAAGCCTTTGACCACTACAGTAGCTGGATAGAAAACACTGTGAGTATAGAAAATCGACTTAAACTTCTTAAGAACCCGGCAATTTAGCAAAAGTAAATCCGTTTTTTTATCAAGGATTTAGAGATGAAAATAGCTTTTCAGTTCAAAACTAGTTTCAGCCTTGAGTATTGAACGAGAATTGAGTAAATCAAATGCATTCAATGATGGGGAAAACTTATTTTCATTGTTGTTTCCTATGCCGTCCCTACACAAGAGATTCTCTCGAAAGATTCAGTGACAGAACGCTGTCGTTTTTGTACATCCGAACGCTTTGATGAATAATGTAGATGATGCTATCTATTCCACGAAACTCCTCGCTCAAACAACTCTGAGAAACGCTTTGGGTGAGTTCAAGCTACATTGTTGAAAGCTTTTATTGGATCCACCCCAAAACAGTGCCGATGCAAATCAGAGTCTTTTTCTTTTACAATGTTTGATTCATTTTTTATTAGCAGCTTTTAATTTTGATAATTTATTTAAAAACAGCATGACCAACAATAAAACGATAAAATAACATAAAATTAATACAATTTGTAACAAAATAATTAGGTTCACCATGTTTTTCGCCTCAAAAATTAGACTGTGCTACCCATATACTACATATATTATATCGTGTTGCTTTTTATCGGCCCATTTCGTGTTATGTCTATGAACTGATGTGTTTTAATCTTAAACCTAGCGCACTTTATCTCAGGGCCTGAATAAAGTATCTATATATTTGAAGCCGGTTTTACGGATCACTGTCCAATTGCTGATACGAATAATTCCCTATGGCATAAATGATCACAACAAATTGCAATGGCCAACGGCAAACAAAGCCTCTCGACAGATAAAAACAATTATCATTTTAAGATTTTTACAATTAGACTGCTCATTTTCGTACACAGGAGTGATATTTCAAGATTTCTCATTTACCAGCGTAAGCGATTGCGTAAGTTGCCAAATTCTTTTTTTTCTAGAACTTAATTGAACGATTTTATTATTCTGCCAAAATTTTGTTCTTCTTCTAATACTGAAACACCTTAAAAACTTATCATAAACTGCGTAAAAACATCTAACCAATGAAATCCATCTAACCTCCTAAAACACACCTCTCACCCGAGTCTGACCAAGTCCAGACTACGGTAACCTATCCGTGCACATCTTTCCGAATTCTTTTTAGTCAACGCCCAATCGCAACAATCCACAGCGATCAGACTCATCTAATGCTTTCGAAAACGATTATTTGACTTGTTGCAAGATGATCGATTATCAATTTAAAGAGGAATTGACACAGAAAAGGGAACGAGTCGAGGATTTGTTTTATTTCGAAGGATCAAAGGTGGGCTTTTTGATTGGATAAGGGAATTTGCATAAGTTAAAACTAGTAACTACTTGGCGCTGTAGATTTTCCCTTTAAATTACTGTTTAGAAGTATTATCCAATCTAAGGTTTAAATCTAAATTCCTAGAGATTTATGTTATGATATCTTGACAACAATTTCACGAAGCTTGTACGCTTTATAAATTAGATATTGTCCTTGTAGATTCCTGTAGATTGTCCCTTTAAATTATTATTTATAAGTTTAAGAAATCTAAAGTCATAGAGATTTATGCCATCCTTGACATGACAACAAGTTTCACGAAGCTTGTTCCATTCGCTTTATAAGTTAGATATTGTACAATTCATTTTTTTTATTCAATGTAATCAAAATTATATAATTTTTCCAGGTTGGAATTACTGTTTAGAAGTGTTATCTAATCTAAGATTTAAATCTAAAGTCCTAGAGATTTATGTTACGATATCTTGACAACAATTTCACGAAGCTTGTACGCTTTATAAATTAGATATTTTCCGATTCGTTTGCAGATTCAATATAATCAAAATTACTGCTTGGAGCTGTAGATTGTCCCTTTAAATTATTGTTTAGAAGTTTAAGAAATCTAAAGTCCTAGAGACATCTTTGACTTGACAACAAGTTTCACGAAGCTTGCTCCATTCGGTTTATAAGTTAGGTATTGTACAATTCATTTTTGTATTCAATGCAATCAAAATTATATAATTTTTCCAGGTTGGCCGTGGCACGTATGGACTCGTTTTCAAAGCGATCCCAAAGACGCAAAACGAACGATATCCGAAGAAAGAATACGCGCTGAAATTGATTGAAGGGAATGGCTTCTCGACGAGTGCTTGCAGAGAAATCGCATTGTTGAGAGAGCTCAAGTAAGACTGTTATTAGATTTTATTGCTTCTATCAATGATCATCTAATTTACAACTCAAATATAATCCTTCAGACATCCAAATCTTATCCGATTGCAACGGGTTTTTCTGACAAACGAGAAGAAAGTGTGGCTACTCCTTGACTACGCAGAACACGATTTATGGCATATCATCAAATATCACCGGGGTAAGTAAACGAATTAAGATCTTGAACGACAAGATCTTCAAGATCTTCCACACCTTCCATGACTTAAAGTTTACCATAAACCATTTCCAGGTGCTAAGGCCAAAAAGCAACCAGTCCTTGTGCCACGAGGAATGGTCAAATCCGTGTTGTATCAAATATTGGAGGGAATTCACTACTTGCATCAGAATTGGATATTGCACAGAGATCTTAAACCGGCGAATATTCTTGTGATGGGCGAAGGACCGGGTGTACAAAGGGGAAGGTGGGATTTGGAGTGATCAGTTGCAAAGATGAATCTGAAGTCAAGTGTTGCTTGACGTTTGATATATCTAAAATCTATTCAACAATATGCACAAGAATGCTTTATCATCCTTGGTTTGGCTTCACTTGTCTTGGCTTGCAATTTAGAGCTAGAAACAGGACAAACTGCAGAAGTAGTCTATTCTATAGTCAAATCCAGATCTCTTTACCAATTTTCCATTTTCAGGGTCAAAATCGCCGATATGGGTTTCGCGAGAGTTTTCCACAACCCATTGAAACCGCTAGCTGACTTGGACCCAGTTGTGGTCACATTTTGGTATCGAGCTCCCGAGTTGCTACTTGGCGCCAAGCATTATACAAAAGTGAGTAAATTAGGTTTAAATAAGTTCTTTACAGAGACAAAAAGCTTTTAATTTTGATTTATTTTCAAACAAGTTTATAGGCTATTGACGTTTGGGCAATTGGATGCATCTTTGCCGAACTGCTTACTGCTGAGCCTTTATTCTTTTGTCGGGAAGAGGACATCAAGGCGCAGAGTCCATATCATCAAGAACAACTCAACAGGTTGATGGAAAGCTTTATAATTGAAGATTTAGAATTATAATGATCAGTTTTCAAGTAAAAGCTAAACCTAATCTTTAGAATTTTTGTTGTTATGGGCTATCCAACAGAAAGCGATTGGCCGGATCTAAAGAGAATGCCCAACTATCCAAATCTCACTCATGATTTCAGGAAAAAGGAGTAAGTTATTAAATTTTATTAAATAGATTTTATTAAACTTTTTCTCTTCAACTTCTTATCTTCTTTTCCAGTTTTGCCCAGTGCACCCTGCAGCGGTATATGGAGAAGCACAGAGTCAGTCATGATACTGCAGATTTTCGGTGGGTAAATGAATCATCTACTAAATTTAAATGAGCATTTCTGTCTTTACAGGCATTATTTTCGGCCCTGTTTTGACCAATAAAGCTAAAATTTCTTTAGAAAATCTTGGAATCTGTTATAGTTATGTCATTTAAATTTAAAAATTAAAAAGTCTCGTTGAGTAGCACGAGGGGAACGAAGCCGACTCGTGTAGCCCGTAGACAAGCGCGCTTCTGACTGCGCCGACAGTCAGGAGCGCGCAGTCAGGAGCCCAAAAACATCTAGCCATATACATTGATTGGTTGTTTATAAGTTAATAAGATAAATGATAGGTAAAAGATCAATTATCTAGAATAACTATAAAATCACTACGAGAGGTCAAACTCGCCTCGTGTAGCCCGTAGAAAAGCGCGCTCCTGACTGCGCCGAGGCGACAACGCGCACCTCAACCTGAAAACATCTAGCTATATAAATCGGCTGGTTTATAAATTAATAAGATAAATGATAGATAAAAGATCAATTATCTAGAATAACTATAAAATTTCTAGGCTACTCTGCCGTTTGTTGACGATGGATCCCGAGAAGAGAGTGAGCTGCAAGGAAGCGATGGAGGACGAGTATTTTCGGGTCAGTTCTGCAGTTTTATGCTCTCTAAAATGTCTAAAATGATTAGAATTGGCTTATTGATAAATTTGCGGACAAATTTTTGAATTATTTACACATTTTAGCAAGACCCTAGACCCACCGAGGACGTGTTCAGGGGCTACAACATCCCGTATCCGAAACGGGAATTCTTGACTGATGGTGATGAGGATAAGAAGCGTGAAGTGCAAAATCAGGTAGATTATTGGCAAATTTGGTTGAAATTTTTTCAAAAAACAGGCCCAACTCGCGAATCAATCAGCTGTTGAAACAAGCTCGGAACCGAATTCGAAAAGAATGCGTCTTCAAGCTGCTACAATCAATCAATCAGCTGGCGCGTCTGCTCATGAATTTGCTCGACAGAATACTGTGGCTGCAACATCGGGTTAGTTATTGATATCTATAGATTGATCAATACTAAGCTATTTATAACAGCACTCTATATAACGGAAACATTTTTGGCCCCTTCCCTATTCCGTTATAGAGAGAGTTGACTGTAGTTTGTTCTTATTATTGTCCAGACAATGTCTTTCCCCTTCGCACTCTTCCTCACCCTCTTGTCCACTCCATTGTGGGCTCGAGTGATCGGTGTCTCTAGTGGAGCTTCAGCTGAAGTGTCTGTTGGAGTCTCGATGCCCACCCTTCCCACCCTTCCACCAATCTATATAACATATATAAGCTATATATAACAGCACTCTATATAACGGAAACATTTTTTGGTCCTTTCCATTCCATTATAGAGAGTCGATGCTTTATCTATAGATTGTCGCTCAGTACTCAGCTTTGTTTAGCAATTTGTCAGACATTTAGAATCTTGAATAATCGTTATTAAACAAGTACAGCAGCTGATGAAGCTGTGCATATAGTTATATAAGTCTTTTAAGGATGATGGAGTTATTGGTAGATTAGCATTCATAGCCATTGTCTTTCTGAGACATTCCCAGTTAACTAGAGAGTCGATTGTAGATGCTTTATCTAAAGATTGTTGCTCAGTACTCAGCTTTGTTTGTAAGCCATTTAGAATCTTGAATAATCATTATCAAACGAGAACTTGCCAAGAAACTGATGAAGCTGTCCATATAGTCATATAAGTCTTTTAAGGCTGATGGAGTTACTGATAGATCAGCATTCATAGCCATTGTCTTTCTGAGATATTCCCAGTTAACTCTAGCTTTTTACACGCAAATCAGTTGATTGCATAGTGTTAGGAAACAAATAAAAAGCTAAACTTTAAAAGAAACCTTTCAGATGTGATGACCTCAGGCTCAGTAAATGTTGGCCTCCATCAACAGCCGATGCCTCCAATGTATTCAGCTCCCCGTCCTCCACCCTATCAACAACCCATGCAATCACAACCAATAAGTAAATCACTTTCATAGTTTCACTTAAACATTCATCTTTAGCCTATTTGCCGAATTATTATGGTAAATGAGCGAATGCTCACCTTATAAAGCATTATCTTTTTTCGGTTTCGCTTTTCTTTTTTTTCGTTAGCAATTTAGCAATATGTTTAGCTTTTCAAAACAAATTTTTGGGTATTTTACACAATTTTTCGGAATTTTACAATATTTCCAATTGTTTTATCATTTTATAGAAAATTTTAGGCGCTCCAATGATGCCTCCACACAATCAGCATATAATGGCACAGCAACAGATGATGAATATGAGTCAAGGTATGTGCAGGAAATATGGAAAGTTGTTAAGTTAGGAAAAATCGGTTTTGAATTTGAAACGAATCCTACACGAAAACTAGATGGATTGGGTTTTTGATTTGGATTTTGAAAAAATGGCTTGGACTTAGAATTGGCCTAGCCTGGCTTACAAGACCTAAGCCTTAGCTGGAACGTTATCTAGGATAAAAAGGGGAAAGTAAATAAGAGCTTACCGGCTGCTTCGTGATTTTCTTTCTTTTCTTCTTGTCCGGAACAGAAACGGCAAGAAATTCGGCTGGTCGCTCGCTGGTGGGATGAGCAAGAAGGGGATGCGTGAAGAGTTCCTTGTAGGCAGCCATCTTGTGCGCATCGAGAAACGGCAAGAAATTCGGCTGGTCGCTCGCTGGTGGGATGAGCAAGAAGGGGATGCGTGAAGGGTTCCTTGTAGGCAGCCATCTTGTGCGCATCGAGAAACGGCAAGAAATTCGGCTGGTCGCTCGCTGGCGGGATGAGTGAGGAGGGGATGCGTGAAGAGTTCCTTGTAGGCAGCCATCTTGTGAGCGTCGAAGCAACGATATGCGAGAAACTGGAAAATAAACAAACATTATCAAATCAAACATGCAAATCAGAGAAATTGTAAATAGCTTCGGAAAACCATCGATTTATTGTTTTTTTGCTTGGATCCTGTAAAAAGCTTTAACCTTATCGAATTAGCTGTCCTTGTGTTGCTGGAATGAGCGTAATCGACTCAAGAAAACTTTCGACTTGTTATTGAACTCTTCTTGCAACTAAAGTTTATTTACAAAGATATGATTACAGGCCAACCAATGATGAACCCATCTCATGGTCAATACATGATGCCCGGGCAACAACCATCGCAATGGGGTCAACACTATGGACATCAATAAGTTACAGTAATACTATTTGTCTTGTTATTGTTATAGACATATTTTCATTCACCGGTAGTTGGGCTTTCGTATTTCCGTTAAACGGTTTTTTTTCTTCCTTTCAGTGATCCAAAATTTGTGATTTTCTTGGAGGCTCTAGAAACGGTTTTTGAATAACAATTTTGAATAACAAAAGCGGATAGTGCAAAATAGAAACTGATCGATAAGGTTTACGGTAGAAAGTTTCATAAAATTACTTTTAATGACTAATCTTGGCTTTTCTTGATCGATGATTACGGTAGAAAGATCCAAGAAATAGGGGAAAGCTGAGTTTTAATCCCAGATCGTTAAATGATGCTAGAAAGATTCAAGCAAATAGCTTTCAATGATGAATTTTGGCTTATCGATCAGTTATCCAATTTCTTTCCTAAATACCTTTTAGCATAATATTCTGATATCCCTATTTTCTTGATTCTTATTCAATTTTATACTTACCGTAAATACTGTAATAGTACCCTCTCATACAGCCGCGTAGTCGCAAAAGTTTTTTAGTATTTCATTTTTTTCAAGGCGCCTGTACTTTCAAAAAATGCGTCTTTGGTATCAAAAAATAGCTGAAATTCAGGGCTATTTTTTGATACCTAAGCGCGCATTGTAGCATAAACCAGTATTGAGAAAAACTCGTTCAAAGCTAGACTATAATAGTACCCCCCTCGTGCAGTCGCGTAGTCGCAAAAACTTTTTAGTATTTCATTTTTTTCAAAGCGCTTGTACTGTCAATGGGCTATCTTTGGTATCAAAAAATAGCCCTGAATTTCAGCTATTTTTTTGATACCTAAGCGCGCATTGTAGCATAAATCAGTGTCGAGAAAAACGCGTCCAAAGCTAGACTACGCAACGCTCCGCACCGTCACTATCTTTGGTATCAAAAATGCGTCTTTGATATCAAAAAATATCCCTGGATTGCAGCTATTTTTTGATATCTAAGCGCGCATTGTAGCATAAACCAGTGTCGAGAAAAACGCGCCCAAAGCTAGACTACGCAACGCTCCGCACCGTCATTATGGGGGTGGGGTCCAATTACAGTATTTACGGTAGTCTGTATCAATTTTTTTTAATCGTATCTAGTTTTAGGACATTGTCTTTTTTCTCTCTTTCATTTCACTGGTTCTCATTACGATGTTTGGTTGTTTGACTCTCTCTCTTTTACAGTTTTCTTTTTCTCGGGTGTTAGCCATTTTTCTTATTCACAGAGCTTCAATAAAGAATAATTTTACAAAGAAAATTCATCAATTAACACTAGACAGAGTTGACCATGCCACTGAAATTCCCAAAGGAATCAAGATCTTCATATTTTCTACATTCTAATCTATTATTCGTTTATAAAGTCTCGTCTTGTTTAAAGACAAAAAATTTGCCAACTTCAGCTGAAGTTATTAAACATTTTAAATACAAAACCAAAGCTTTAAATTAATGTGAGTTATCAGCAATGATTCTTTTATTGTAAAAGAGTTTATTCACTGTTTAAAATTCAGTAATTGACAAGATCTAGACAGCATTTTCTTACAGTCCAACTCTAAATTCCAGTCAATCTTGAATTCCAGTCAATCCCATTAACGAATCAAAACTTATAAACTAGACAATTTGAACGTTAAAAGATTTTTGTTCATTGGAATTTAATTGAAATTTGTATGTAAAGTGATTAAGTTTAAGCTTTAAGTTCATTAAGATAAGCATCAACTTATCTTAATCTACAGTCATGAACAAAAGTCTTTTAACGTTAAGAACATACACTACTGGACAATGAAATATCATATTTGAAAAAACACTTTTGCACTTTCGCGCGTCTGTAACTCCCTTGTCTTTGAGTTTAAACTATTAGTGTTATACATTTTTTAAAAGCTCTTTTCAAGGGCTACACAATGGTAATATTAATATTTAGATTGATGACCATTTAAGGACCAAAAGGGAATCGACTGCATGGATTGTTGACTGAAAATACCAGCTATAAAAGTCTAAGAAGAGACTAGTTAGTAAGTTATAAGATAACCTACTTCAAAACTATTGGGTTGATGCATAATTATCCGGACTTCTTTTATAAATGATTTTATTTAACAAAAAATAACATAAATAGTTAGAAAAATATGTTTAATTGATTATTCTGGAGCATATTCACCGCCTACATCAATAACTGATTGCCATTTGCTTGGAAGACGATCGATTCCACGAGCGAAGAATAAACGATCTTTGGAGGCAATCCACGCTTTAACATCGTCTATCAAGTCATCCAAATCGTTGTAGATCTTATTTGTTTGCCAATTTTTGAGCGATCGATTGACGTGGTAGTCCGTTGGGGCTTCTCCAGTTCTTTGAGATCGCGAAACGACTCTGCGGCAGACCATCCCTTTTCGAAGTGGTAGAGCATGATATGGCGAAGATGGATATGATTGTCGACACGCATTTTGTTCACTAAAGAATAACGAATATTTAAAAAAAAGAAATAGACAATACATCAAATCAGTTCTGAAGTAATCGGTTCTACACTACTGAACAATGAAATATCATATTTGAAAAAACACTTTCGCACTTTCGCGCGTCTGTAACTCCCTTGTCTTTACCGTATTGCTAAATATTAATATTACCATTGTGTAGCCCTTGAAAAGAGCTTTCAAAAAATGTATAACACTAATAGTTTAAACTCAAAAACAAGGGAGTTACAGACGCGCGAAAGTGCGAAAGTGTTTTTTCAAATATGATATTTCATTGTCCAGTAGTGTATCTCAAAGCAATACTTAATTTCAATAAGGTTTTGTGCTTTAAATTGCTGATTACTTTTCTGATAGCGGGGTACTAAGAAAACCTACAGATTAGCCTTGATTTCATCAGAATTAAGAGAAAAACAGTTTGCATACTCAAAAATATAAAGAAAAAGGGTCAGAGAATTTCTTCTGAATCAAATTTATTATTGTAACCCTCAGAGTTCATAAACTTAATCATTTTACATAAAAATTTGAATTAAATTTCATTTTCTTATTATAAACAAAAGTTTTGACTGACTTTTTAACCTTTCATGGACTCTCAAACTTCCTTTTTCCTTGCGTAACGACAAAGTCCCATTTCGAACGGTCGAAGTGCGTTCCACGACTTTGCACAAGCAAGAGACAAAGAAAAGAAGAAAAGAAAAGAAAGGAAAAGGCAAGTCAACGAACTCTTTTTGTTTCTTTTCTTTTCCATTCTTTCCTTCTTGTTCGCAGCTGATCGCTACTTGAGAGTCGAGCGAGGGTTGGCGCGTTGCCCGTTGTCTCCACTTCTCTAAGTCTTCCCTAATTCTCTTCATCTTTTTTCCATTTTCTCAAAATCTCCCCAATTATCTTATTATTTCCCTTTCCCTAAGCCCTTTCTCTCCACTCTTTCCTTCTCTTCCACTCTCTTCCCCTCCCTTCCCCTCTCTTTCCCTCTCTTCCCCTCTCTACCCTTCTCTTCCCCTCTCTCCCCTTCTCTTCCCCTCTCTCCCCTTCTCTTCCCCTCTCTACCCTTCTCTTCCCCTCTCTTCCCCTCTCTTCCCCTCTCTTCCCCTCTCTCCCCCTCTCTCCCCCTCTCTTCCCCTCTCTTCCCCTCCATTCCCTTCTTTGTGTCCTTTCCATTGCACACACTTCCTTCCCCCTTCTTTGAATCTTTCTCCGAGATCTCGATTTATTTTGTAAGTTAATTAGTTGAAATTAAAATTTTGAGAGCTTTTTGATGGAATCTTGGACTTCTTTTTACTTTGTGATTGTTACCTGTTTACATCATTGTTGAAAGAACAAAAATAATTTAGATTAAATACAGAAATAATCAAATTTTATCTAGGAAAAGCCTTTTGACTTGATTTTGAGTCTTTTGAAGTTTCGAGTTTTGTTGAACTGACCGCTAAACAGTATTCCAGAGTGTGGTTTGAAGTTTCCAGTTTTGTTGAACTGACCCCTAAACAGTATTCCAGAGTGATATGCTCCTTTTGATCTCAAACTTCTGTTCAACATCACTTTTATTTCTGGTATTGTATAGATAATTTTGTAAATCTTCAATCTTTTAGTGATGATTTAATAAGAAAGCTAATTTAATCGTGTGATGGGCGATAATCGCACAATGATCGACTTCTCATTCAGAGAGGAGCTCAATCAGAGAAGGGAACATGTCGAGGATTTGTTCAATTTCGAGGGATCAAAGGTTTATTTGCTAAAAGTGATAAAGAATCTAAAAAGCGATTAATCCAAAACAGCAACTAGGCACAGTTTTGACCTTTTTGTAAGCCTTTCTGCCCTTTCAGGTGGGTCGAGGTACCTATGGACATGTGTATAAAGCAACACCCAAATCCCCAGCTTCTATGAAAATGTACCCAAATAAAGTAAGTGCTTGGGCTTGAATAAGTCTAGATTTTGAAATTTAAAACAAAATTTTTTGATCTAACTATATAAAAATTGCAGGAATATGCTCTGAAGTTGATCGAAGGGAATCAACAATTCACAATGAGCGCTTGCAGAGAGATCGCTTTGTTAAGAGAACTCAAGTCAGTTTGTTAGCTACTTGGAATTCTAAATATTCAAATTTATATCCAACTCTTCTTATTGATTTACTTTAGACACCCAAATCTCATCCGATTGCAACGGGTTTTTTTAACAAAAGAGCGCAAAGTTTGGCTCCTCTTGGACTATGCCGAACACGATTTATGGCACATTATAAAACATCATAGAGGTAAAAATATACAAACTTGAGTTTACGGTAGCTACATTTCAGGCATGAGAACCAAAAAATCCCTGTTAATGTCTCCCGAGGGATGGTCAAATCGATTCTCTATCAGATTCTCGATGGAATTCACTACTTGCATCAGAATTGGATATTGCACAGAGATCTTAAACCGGCGAATATTCTTGTGATGGGCGAAGGACCGGGTGTACAAAGGGGAAGGTGGGATTTGGAGTGATCATTTGCAAAGATGAATCTGAAGTCAAGTATTGCTTGACGTTTGATATATCTAAAATCTAGGGAAGGTGGGGTTTTGAGGTTGAAAGAATTCTGAAATCAAGCAGGAAAAGAGGTTTAGTTGAAGTCTGGCACAGAGCTTGGACTTCCGTTGACTGGCTTGCGATTTAGAACTAGGAAAAGAGTAAAGTACCGTATTCTCTCTAATAGTAGTGCACCCCGTCGAGTTGATGACTATTCTACAGTTTCGAAGTTTTCTCAGAAGCTCAACACTCAAATCCCCCACTAGATCTCATCGTCGGCGACATTTTCCGACCCCACATCGATAGGTTCTGATAAGCGGTTTTCGAGATTTCGAGTAATTTAGGCGACGCCCAGGTGCACTACTATTAGAGAAAATACGGCAAACTGAAGAAGCAGTCTATTCTACAGTCAAATCCAGATCTCTTTACCAAGTTTCCATTTCCAGGGTCAAAATCGCCGATATGGGTTTCGCGAGAGTTTTCCACAACCCATTGAAACCGCTAGCCGAGCTAGACCCGGTTGTCGTGACATTTTGGTATCGAGCTCCCGAGCTACTACTTGGCGCTAAGCATTACACAAAAGTGAGTCATTTGATTTATTTGCAAACAATCTTTAACTTTTACAGGCTATTGATGTCTGGGCGATTGGATGCATCTTTGCCGAGTTGCTCACCGCTGAACCAGTTTTCTATTGTAAAGAGGAAGACATTAAAGCACAAAGCCCGTATCATCAAGAACAACTGAGAAGGTGGGTCACTAATTTCTGAATTTTCGAATTTACTAGACATATTTAAAGAATATTCAACGTGATGGGCTTCCCTACTGAAAGCGATTGGCCGGATTTGAAGAAAATGCCCGAATGGAAACGACTTGATCAGGATTTTCAGAATAAAAAAATGTGAGTAAATAGAAAATCTTGGTTTTAAGTTAAAGATAATATATTTAAGTAGTGATTTAAGATCTTAAAACAAGGCAAGGTTTAAACAAGCCTGAGCTAACAAAGTTCTGGAGTTAGTCACAGTTTGGTACTCACTGGGGGCAAGCGAACCCCGTCGCGGTTTGCCAAACAAACTTTGGATTCGTTTTTCTCGAAAACCAGTGATATTTTTGTAATTGAAAGAATTCTTCAGGTTTGCCAATTGTGCCCTCCATGTATATTTTCAAGAAAAGCACATTCAATCTGATGGCCGAGATTTCAAGTTGTTAACGAAATTGTTGCGAATGGACCCGGAGAGGAGAATCACTTGTAAAGAAGCGATGGATGATCCGTATTTCAAGGTAAACATATTTGAAATGCTAGAAGTATCGAAAATATTTTAAAAATAATAAATTTTCAATTCTAGGAAGATCCGAAACCGACTGAAGACGTTTTCAAAGGCATGGAGATTCCCTATCCAAAGCGAGAGGCGATGGAATGTGATGAGGACAAGAAAACGAATCAAACGCAGCCACAAGTGATCTCAGTGAGTGGAATCGTTCCGGATTGGAATCGTTTGGAATCGTTTATTGTCACAATATCTTTTGAAGCTTTACCTTTTGAATAGTAACTACAGTATAAAAGCTGGAAAATAAAATCCATGGCTTGACTTGCAGGACAATGTCAGCAATCTCGAGGGATCCGAAGCGCCCAATCCCAAGAAAATGCGGATGGCCAATCAGGGACCACAAAACAATCAACCGGTAAGTAAAGTTATGCAAATTTGTATGCAAATTGCATCCTTTTATGCAAATATCAAATTTCCAGATGCCCAGTGGAAGCGACAATTCAAATATGAACTCTTATCCTCAACAAAATATTCAACAATCTATGCAAACTCAGATGCAACCAATGATGCAACAAATGCAAAACCCTGGTTTGTTCTTTGATGAATAGGTTCAAATGTCTTCACGATACAGGTCAATTTTTAGCATTTTATGGCTTTAAAATACAATAGCAGAACTATATTTTAACATCTCTATAACCTAGAGTTCGGCAAACAAAGCCAAAACCAAAACAGACCAAAACCAAAACCAAAACCAAAACCAAAACACCAAAACTCAGTTTGCATATAAATTAACATGTAAATTTAAAATTGTAAAATGCAAATTTGCCTTTCACTTTTTCTCACTCCACAAAATCTCGCGGCCGAAAAAAGGACCAAAACACGACCTCGAAATTTCGAAACAAAAAATAGCCTATGGGATAGATTTTTGGATGCTGATTTCAAATCTGCAAACAGATTTTCGCTAGCTCCTCCCAGTCGCGAGATATTGGCGAGTTTTGGTTAGTTTTGGTTTTGGTTTGTTTTGGTTTTGGTTTTGTTATGGTTTTGATTTTGGTGGTTTTGGTTTTGGTTAAGTTTTGTTTTCCGAAGTCTACTATAACCATTAACTTTTAGGCATGATGCAAAACCCAGTAAAGTCCCAAAATCTGATGATGAATCAGCCGAAAATGGAGCCAGGCGTTGGGCCGATGGGTGGAATGCAAGGAGGACAACAAGGACCAATGGGACAAATGACCAGACAGATGTATGGAAATCAACCACCGCCCCAGCAACAGTATCAACAACCCGTCGCCCCGCAAGGATATCAACAACAAATTAGTGAGTTTTGAAAGTTTGAAAGAAAAGTAGTAGAAAGTAGAAAGGGTGTTTCCAGTTTTGCCAAAGTGATGTAAAATTTAGATTCGATGATGAACCAACCCGGGAACCCACAAATGATGAGAAATGATATGGGCTACAGTGGACAACCACTCATGATGTCACAAGGTTAATGAAATCACTTTATCAGCTTGGCTTTCAGCCAAAGCCAAGCTATTTGTTGGGTTTTGGCTTGACTTTGCTTGGACAAATTGGTCCTAGGAGATTTGATCCACAAAGCAATAGCATTTTTAATGCAAACTAAAGACCTATTCCAATGAATAATAGATATTACAGGTCAAATGATCTGTAACAGTGGACAGCCACTCATGATGTCACAGGGTTAAATCACTTTTTCAGTCTTTTACCTTTCAGGCAAAGCCAAGCTGTATATGCTAGCTTTTTAGCTTGATTTTGGCTTTGACTTTGTCTGGAGAATTTTTGATATTTGATCCAGAAATAGCAAATTTTGGGCAATTTTATAAAGTACGGCTTTTACAGTGTTACAGCTCTACAAAAGAATCATTTTCTCAAAAACCAAAAGAGTTGACAGCTTTTTCATTTAGATATTTCAAATCTACGAACATTTTTTAACTAGATTTATGAGCTTGTTGAAGAATTTAAAACTTTTTTTAATATAAATTTAATATAAAATTTTAAACGTGATTGCTGCTCTCAAAAGAAAAATGTATTGGGTTGTCCAGTTATGAATGCGCGTTTTTTACTATTTTGTAAATTTCTCAAGATATCGAACAGATGTATATGAGTGTTATATATCATTCGAAAGCTGAAGATCTTGTTAGCTACATTTCAAGCTACATGTTGTACATTTCAAGCTTTCGAATGATATAAAATAGAAGCTGATTGATTCAATCAAATTCAAACCTTGGGAAATCAAAGCCAACTTGACCTTGAGATCGGCTCCTTGTCAATTGATTTGTCGATTGTTTTTCATCAAAATGAATTTGAATGATCCAATCAAGCTTTGTACCATTTGAAAGCTTAAATTGTCATCTTTAAGACTGTAGAAAAAGATAACATTATTATTTTATATTATTTCTAATTGTAAGCAAAGTTATATTGGGTTGTCCAATTATGAATGCGCGTTTTTACTATTTTGTAAATTTCTCAAGATATCGAACAGATGTAGATGAGTGTTATATATCATTCGAAAGCTGAAGATCTCCTCTACATTTTGGAATAAAAAAGTTTTTGAATTCATTGAATTTTTTGGGAAATTGACTGCACAAAGGGAGAGATCGTTTTCGAAAAAAAAAATTCCAGTTTAGCTATTCCTCGAGTTTTATGCTGTAAAATAACCGCCCAGAAAAGAAAAGAAAAGTAAAGATGCTCTGAAATTGTTATATTTTAAAAAAGTTGTATTGATATACAGTGGCGGACATAAACTTATCACACTCCAAAATAATTTCTTATTTCTCCTCTAACTTTTTTTTCTAAACAACCCTTTGAGCTAAAAGTTGGTTTAGACACGTAAAAACAAACATATTTTAATATTTTAAGTCAAAAAACTAAATATCTCTGATGAAAAACTTTTTTTGAACTTTTTTATTATAAACTCGAACGACATTGACTTATCACACCTCATAAAAACAACACAAAAAGCTATTAAAAACTACCCAAAAACAACGGCTGATAAATCAAAACGGGAACAAAAACTTAATACTTCGTTGGGAATCCTTTTGAAGCAATCAGTGCAGCACACCGACGTTGCATGGATTCGATGAGTGTGTCTAGTGTGGCTTGAGGGATCTCGGTCCATTTCTTGACCAATAAGTCGAATTTCTCTTGAGCATTTTTAGTCTTATACCCTTTGCAACTCCTCTCAAGCACATCCCACAGGTGTTCGATTGGGTTGAGATCCGGACTTTGACTGGGCCAGTCCATCACTTGCAGCCCTTGTTGGGTGAACCATTGAGTGACGCGGCGTGCTTTGTGCTTAGGATCGTTGTCTTGCTGGTATATGAAGTTTGGAGGCATGAACCGAGTAGCAGACGGTAACATATGGTTCTGTAAGATATCCAAGTAGACAAATTGATCCATGATCCCGTCGATTCGTTTCAGCGCCACCAATCCGCGAGCCGAAAAGCCACCCCAAATAGTCACACTTCCGCCCCCATATTTAACAGCCGGTAAAATATATTTCGGGTCGAATCTTTTATTGGGAGGACGTCTCACATATTGAATTCCATCACTTCCAAACAAGTTGAACTTGGACTCGTCGCTGAAAAGCACATTTTGCCACTGTTGCTTAGTCCATTTAACGTGGTCCTTGGCGAACTTCACTCGACGCTTCCGATTCTTTGCGGAAATGAGCGGTTTGTGAGCAGGACGACGACCAAATCGGTTGGCATGGTTTAGGCGCCGTTGGACTGTCCGTGGAGAGATCGAATCCTTAACGTTTCTTGGCAACTCCGCATGAATGTCGACCGCCGTCTTGAATGGGTCCGCCTTGGAGAGCTCGAGAATCCGATTGTCGTCTCGTTGAGTGGTTTTTCGTAAGGCTCCCTTATTCTTTTTTTGCTTCGAGCGATCCCGTCCGACAGTGTAGAGCCAAAATTTTGTTGACCGTGGTCCGATCGATTCCCAAAACACTCCCAATTTCTTTCTGACTCTTCTGTTGGCGGTGAAGACGAAGAACGTCCTCCCTTTTCTCCAACGAAATTTGCTTCTTCTTTCCCATATACCTAGAAAGAGTTTTAATGAGATTAGATTCAAAAGTCGGAAAAAAACCCAAAATAAAAACGAAATTTTAATGTTTTGTGTTGTTTTTATGAGGTGTGATAAGTCAATGTCGTTCGAGTTTATAATAAAAAAGTTCAAAAAAAGTTTTTCATCAGAGATATTTAGTTTTTTGACTTAAAATATTAAAATATGTTTGTTTTTACGTGTCTAAACCAACTTTTAGCTCAAAGGGTTGTTTAGAAAAAAAGTTAGAGGAGAAATAAGAAATTATTTTGGGGTGTGATAAGTTTATGTCCGCCACTGTATCTATTGGTCAAACATCAAACGGTTAACTCAGTCTGAGCGGAGCCAAAACTTGATCCAAAGGCACCCTTCCATTTTTTTGGCCACCTCTTCTTCTGTGCAGTCAATTTGCCCAAAAGCTGGACAAATTCAAAAGCTTTTTATATCAAAATGTAGAGGAGATCTTCAGCTTCCGAATAATACTCATATATATCTTTTTCTTGATTTCGGTATCTTGAGAAATTTACAAAATAGTAAAAAACGCGCATTCATAACTGGACAACCCAATAATTTGTCAAAGTGTGCTATTTTTGTTAGCCAAGATAACCTCGCATTTAGCAATAATAAAGCTCAAAAAGCACCACTTTTATAGTAATTAAATCGAAAAATGTATTAATGCAGAAAAAGACGGAAAAAAGACGATTATAGAGAACCCAAAGTTGAATTTAATTGTGTTTCAGCATCGTCTCGCATAACATTTTTTGTACTGCTTGGCTAGGGTTGTCAAAGTCATTAAAAAAACATTACGGTTCTTCTATTCTATGTTAAATTACGCATTTTGTGATTAATTATTATTTTTCAGGTTAATGTAATGTCTTAGAAGGCGAAAAAGATGCACTAAGCGCAACACTATAAATGCCGCAGTCTGTAATGTAATCTAAAGTAATGCAAACGTATGTAATGCCGTCTGTAATGCAAACTAAAGACCTATTCCAATGAATAATAGATATTACAGGTCAAATATATCAGCTTGGCTTTCAGCCAAAGCTAAGCTATTTGTTGGCTTTTGGCTTGACTTTGCTTGGACAAATTGATCCTAGGATATCCACAAAGCAATAGCATTTTGAATCCAAACTAAAGACCTATTCCAATGAATAACAGATATTACAGGTCAAATGATGATGGGACAACAGGGACAATCGATGATGGGCCAAAGCCAATACATGATACCATCACAAGGACAACAAAGTGCACAACAACCACCACCCGGTCAATGGCCATCCGGATATTAAGAATTGAAATATTGAAAGGTTGGATTGTTCAAATTGCTATCGGTGTTATGAAATTGTCGAAATCTGAGTCAATCTGGATTTGTTGGATTACGGTAGAATCGATTACTGTACAGAATAAGATCAAATAGGATAAAGAAGAATTCAGATTGATTCTCTATTCAATCAAAAACCAACAAGCTATTTTAAAACGATTTTAAACCGATCAAGGCTTGCATCAAGCTTTGAACAGTTCGTAATCTGTAAAACTTGTACAATTTAGCAATTTTGAAAAAGATATTGAAACCAAAAGCCTATTCTGACTATTTTCTTGAACAATTCAACTTTTTGTCTACCCAAATTTGCTCAAGCAGGCTTGAGCTTTTTGAAAAACGTCATTTTCTTATAAGAAACCTCAATAAATTCTCTTACGGTCAAACGAAATTTTTTGCACATTTTTTTTGAACATTTTTGCTTTTGTATCTATTTTGCATTTATTTCTTTACACTCAAATCATTCGTCGATAGATCTCTCCTTCTCGTCTCTCATCATCATTATTTTCTTTTGCTGTACCCAAACTGCCTCAGGAGTTCTTGTAAGATTATCAAAAGAAATGAATCAAAAACTAGAATGAGTTGAATAAAAGATTTATTTGATTGTGGAAATTGGTTGCATTATATTGAGTAAAGCATAGAAGCATTCGTTTTCAATTCTTACAAAACAAGAGGGATAGCAAGAGAGATTACGGAGGAATGAGTTACGATGCAGAAGCTGATCAAAGACATTGTAAGCCTTTGACCACTACAGTAGCTGGATAGAAAACAATGTGAGTATAGAAAATCGACTTAAACTTCTTCCGACATCCGACAATTTAGCAAAAGTAAATTAGCTTTTATCAAGTATTAAGAGATGAACGCAGCTTTTCAACACACAATCAGATTCCCTACAAATTTCACATCCTGTCAGACCAAAACCAGCAGTGATACTCAACGTTGAAGTATCTCTGTTGATTTTGGTCTGACAGGATGTGAAATTTGTCGCAAAAATACAGCCAATTTTAATTTTAATAATTCCCAAACTTCGAAATTGCAAAATTGCTGAAAATTACTAACAAATTCAAGGCAAAAAAAAAAGCGATGAGGCCAACTCAGTCACTCACCGCTGCTTTCCCTTCACAGATTTAAAAAGGGAATAGCCTTACCGAAGGGGTTTTCCAGATCGAGAGCGATTACACGGCTGCACAAAGAACGTCTCGCCGACATAGGGATTTTTCTTTTGCATTGTAGATGGCACAAAAAGAAAGTGTTGAGCTGCAAATTTGTATCCGGGGGTTTTCGGGGGCGGGGAATCGATTGGGGCTTTTCATTTTGTCTAGTTTGCCAATTCTCAAATAAATTTATTGGCAATTATTTTTGTCTTAAATTTGGTGGATTTTTGCTACAAATTTCAGCTAAATCTAGCCGAACCCGGACGCAGTTGGAAATTATTCAAAGGAATGAGCATAAAGATTAGATTAAAGCTGGTGCATGCAAGTTTTAGTCTGCACTTTTCGTGATAACTTTCTAAATTCATAATTTATTCAATGAAAATTGTCAAATTGCATAAAATCCGAAGAAAAGAAAAGAAAAATGAGCAGAAAAACACAAAAAGGACCTGTTTCTGTAGAGAAAACACGAAAATCGATTGAACAACTCAAATGCAAAAAAAAAAAATCAGGTAATATCATGATCATGATATGAAAAAAATTACAATAAAATCGAATCAATGATAATTTTTTTTTCTGAAAGCCTTCGGAATTTGTGTTTGGAAAAAAATATCAGAGTTGATGCCTTTTTTGAATGAAAGAAATTGACACCGGGGAATTCACAACGCAAAAAAAGGTAATTTTTGAAAATATTTGTAGAAATTGTGCTAATACCCATTAAGAATTTGGGATTGTTTAGAAAAGAACAAATTATAAGGTGGATAGAATTACGGTAGGTTTATTGTACAAAAGCTGAATTTCTAGCTCCAAAGCACATTATGTTCATTGAGTGACAATTGAGAGAGTTTCAGGTAGTTTATGGAGTAAATCTTATCAATAGAACATGAGGAACAGTGAGAAAATTTGAGAATTTCAAGGTTTTCCTTGCAAGATCGTGTACTCAATTGTTTCTGGTGGCATCGGCGCACTTGTTGCGGTGGCGGCGGAGGTTTTCGAGCCGAATCTTACCGGACTTGTGCCACTTCGAGATCGAGAGCGTCTTGGTTGGGCAACTCCGTTTTTTTGGCTATTCGGTGAGGTGTTGTTCAGCTTTGGCTCGAGAGAGACCTAAAGTTTTGAGTAAGGCAAGTGAAAGCAATCATTCATTTGATTTCAGCACTCAAAACAAACCCAATACTACTCTTAAGCTGTTCTCTTACTAGACCTGGGAAAATTCCAAGTCCAACCTAATTCCAGCTTCGTTTTCTCGGCTGTTTCTTGGCCGATTGCTCTGAAATTTTGTCTAAAATCTAAAAATGTCGATTTCTATCCGTAGACAGAATTTCGGAGCAATCGTCCAAGAAAACAAAGGTGAAATTAGGTTCGGGTTGGAATTTTTCCATGTCTATCTCCTCCTCACCTGCAACATCGCATAGTTTAGAGTGCTGTGTGGCTCATTCATTTGATGTGGCAAAGAGCTTGGCTTCGGCATTGGATTCGAGGGTAAAGCGAGTGGGCCTAAACATCATATTTCAATAGTTGCGAATTTTTGTTACTTGTTAGATGTTCTTGGAATGATTTCTTGTGTTCTTGCTTCGGTTTCCCGACAAAAGCCCGATGAACCGCTGGTGAAACAGTTGATGAAGTGGGTGTTTGCACATTTGTGTCAATCGTCAAAGCACTCTCGCTACTTGTCTCCGAATTTCGACCGTTTTCGAAAGAGGCGATCTTGCAGCCAACGTAGTCCTGAACAAAAATAAGATCATAACAGTCAAGTTTGGTTTTTGGTTTGCCTTAAAATATCGCATCCTTGAAAGCTAAAGTCAGATGTGTTCAGGGCTAACAGAAAGCCAAAAGCTAGACTAGCCAAGTAAAACCAAGCCAAGCCAAAACCAATGGCTCTCAATTTGTCTTATAGTTAGCCTAAGATTTCAAACTTATCGTTGAATTTGGTCTAAAACCTTGGCTTTGGCTTGGCTTGACCTAGAACTTAACGGGGCATTGAGCAAAAATATTAACTTTCTTCTTGGCTTTGCTTTTGCCAACTCTTGACGTTCCACTAACTCAATATGCAAACACTGTATTTCTTAGCTTCTCAAGATTCACAAATCCTCACCTCATCAGCTTCCAGCACCACCGGAGTACTTGTTTGATTGACCGGTCTTCCCGTACTGCGACTCCTCGCTCGAGCAGACACTCCACTTAGTGGAGATCGACCGCCAGACCGCTTCATCTCTTTCTCCGATCCATCCATAAATGCGTAATCGTCATCAATTTTGTGGATTGAAGTTCTAAAATTTTAAATTTAAAAGCTAAAGATCAGCTAAACGAACCTTGAAGAGCATCTTGAGTTGTTTCCACTGGTCGTCTCTTGAATTGTCTCGAAATGTTGCGATTGTCGGCCGACATCTTGTGGTGCGGTGCCCAAATGGTGTTGGACACAATAAGCAACTTCTTCCGCTGCGCCAGCTTGCACAAAAACGGTTGGATCGTTGATTTGGGTCGCCACGTAGTCACCATATTCTAAACGATATTTTCGAGAAAGACTTGACCAGAAACTAGACCTCATGAAATGTTTTTAAAGTCAAATATCATTTTTGAACTTACCATTTCCATGAAAATCCTTGAAGATGCTATTCTTAAGGATTGATTGGGTGATTGTGGCTGGAATTGGAAGTGGTTCCTCGTGAATTGGCTCCTCTTCGGACGGTTCTCCGATGGTGGGACGTTGGAACTCGGTTTTCCCACCAAAAGATGAGGTTCTCGATCTGAAAATGGGATTTGAAGAAGTGGTGATGAGCAAACCCTACAATCAGCACTCCAACAAGTCATGAAATACTGGTGTTAGATGTCAGACAAGGTCAACACGAACCTGCTCGGACTGTCCACACTGTGCACACTGCCGCTTCCAGATCTGCCCATTCCAGCACCACCAAAGTCGATTTCGACGAGATGATCATGGGATGGACCCCTCTCTGAACCGGGTCCTCCAACCGATCCACCCCGTCGATTGAATGGAGTCGAACGACCGGAGCCGAAAGATCCCGAACGATTTCTTGTTCCATCACACGCTGGATCCGAGGTAATTGCACTAAAGAAATCAATAGGAAATGTTTAACAAACGAGTTTAGTTAATTCTTCATTTAGGTTATCCAGAAAGTCTTTTCTGTCCTTAGTGCATTTGTTGGTTTTAAACGGAAGTACGAAAAAAAACGAAAAGACTTTCTAATATCAAGAAAGGAAAAGCATTTAAATGCTAAGCAGTCAAGCCAATTAAACTACCTGATTTGATGATTACTGCTCGAAGTGGTCGGCTGTCCCGTGCTGCTCGCATTGCTCGAACTAGCAAGCGATACACCAGAAGCCGTTGTTTGCGAATGCCTCGTCGATCGATTCGCGTGTTGAGAGAGTTTGCGGAATGGTCGCCTAAATTTCTTTGTTGAAAGGGAAGAGTTGAAATTTCTCACGCGTACAGATGCTTGCTGCCCAACGAGAAAGCTCTCAATCGCTGTGTTTCGGGATCCAATGGAGTCAATAAACCTGATTTTGCGACTAAAGCTTCTTTAGATGCACTTTCTAAAGAAGCTCCTGAGTCCATGGTGACATTGGTTCCATTGTTGAAAGTGGCAGCAACAGCTTGCGGGACAGTTCTAGCGCCAAAGGAGTAGGCCCTAAAATTTGCATATAGGTTCCAAGTTCAGTTCTGCAAATCGGTTAGCTAGACTTACCTTGGTGGTTGTGGTCCCGGTTTATTTAAAGTAGCCCCAGTGTTGTTGGCCAAACTCGAGTAGCAGCTGTCCGAGCTATCCGACACATAACTGCGCACCTCGTCCAAGTGGTACTGCTTGTCTTCTGCAAATATAGCCATTGACTAGTTATCCACTTCTCAGCTTACTTGATCCATTGGTTGGAATGAGAAACGATCCGTCAACGGTCCAATCAGCCGCATCCATTGGTGCGTAGTCTTCGGGAATTCCAGAGGGCATTCCCGCGGTACTACTGCAGCTTGATGTTGCTTCCATGTCTAAATTTTTGGATTTTGTATTGTTTGTAGCACATTATTCGTGTGAATAAATGAAATCTCATACCTGTGTCTTCAGACATGCTCGGTGGACGTCTTTCAATCGTTGCTTCAACAGCAATCGATCTCCGACTGTTCATTGATACACTGTCCGCTTCTCGAGTGCTTCCCTCGAGTCTCAACGTGCCACCACTGAAATTTAGTAAGATAAAGTTGATAATAAATCTATAAAAGACAAATATTGCACCATTACAGCTATCTTTAGATAAAAGCGTCAGTCAATACCCTTATTCTTCATCCTTTTGAGCTCTTGGTGCAATCCTCGAGCTAAGACTATTGTCTTTTACATTTAATTGAAATCCCAATCATTCACCTGTCCTCTGTTTCCTCTTGTGTCGATTGAGAGACATTTGGTTGAAGTCTTTGCAATGCATCCAATCCTATCGGCCGTCCATCTCTTGGAGTGTTCTTTCGAGACGCCGAATCGGATGGCACCTCCGAGGGTCGTCTTCTAGAAGAATGAATTTTAAATAAAACATTATAGCTTCCTTAGCTCTATCTATTTTCAATAACTTACGGCATTTTTCCCGAATTGTAGTGAGGCATCGAGCTGATGCTGTTGATTCGTCCAGGCGGACCCGCGCCACTCTTGAAGCCGAAAGGACTTTCGAACCTAAATAAAGGCTTATATTTTATGACAGAACAGGTTGTTTACATAAAATTCTAAGCACTTTTAAGCTCCAATAAAATTAGGAGGAACTTTAGTCTTCAAGACTTACCCTCCACCCATTGGAGTTCCAGTGAAGGAAGTCTTCCTGCTGCCAACCTGCGAACCGAAAGATGGGCTGCCGATTCGCCTGAAATTTGAAGACTAAAGTTTCTGCTAATTTGATGCTAATAACAACAAGAGATTTTTTGACTTAGAACTGAACAGTTGACTTTTTGGTACTTTTTGACATCACGAACATTTTTGAAAAGTGTTAGAGACAGGTTTAGAAGGCTCGCAGAAATGGCAAGCATTTAATGGAAAAGAAAAGGATAAAATCACAGTGTACTTTGAGTTTCAAATTGAAAACACATTTCTTCTGGTGCACTGATTTTTGCGCAAGAGAAAAGGCAAGAATCCAGTGCATCAAAAGGTGAGCATTTCCAAGTGGACAAAGTACAGGAATGATTTGCAGAAACAACGAGCATATTCACTCCAAAAACACAGGCAACGATGATGGCCTGCCTGGTGAGCTCGTGTTGAACAGAAGCTGCGTGAAGAGAACCGATCGACGGTCGAGAATCTCGGCGCATTCCGATCGGCAATCGATTATCCGTTTCAAATGAATCCATTCTTGCTTTGAAAAGATCAAGTCTTGTCCTTCCCGATCGACCGGTTGTCGGCGCGGAGACAGAGTTTGTGGTATAGGGACTGGCCACTGTCGCCAAATCGCTAAATGATCACACCTAATCGGGGGACATCGACAAAGCTAAGAGAAATGGTTAGCCAAAGGATTAGACATTGATGGGGATAAGAGGAATGGATAACGAAGGAACTCTAACTAGAGTAGAGTACCCTAATCAAGTTTGATAGTTTGATAGAGAACTAAACAACTTAGAAACGAGGATCGCGAAAAGTATGTTGAAGTACAAATGACGTGTCTAGCTACAGTAAGCCCTACTAAAGGTTGTAATGGCAAAAATGGTCAAATCCAAGCTTGACTTATATTAGGTTGGTACATCAGTCTTTACAATTCTTTTTTTTCCAAACGTCTTTTAAAAATAATGCTGCCACCAACAAAATTTCTATTTAAACTATTAAAAAGGTTAATTTTTTCTCTGCAAAATAGCTTTTGGGTAATTCTTGGAAGTAGTTGTTTTTGTGGATTTTGTGAGTACCCAAAGCTGCGTAATCAGTAGCTGCCAAAGTAGCGAAACGGTGAGTACGCAAAGCTGCTCTGTTGCCGAAGTCGCAATTTAGGCACTTTCTTCAATACAAACCTATTTTGGTGCCAAAGTAAAAAGGATAGAGCTTATTTGATTACATAAGTCTAGAAAATTTGAAAATGATCCGCCCAACCATTTTCTTTAAAACAGCAATTGAAAATTTTACACAAAAATGCGTTTTTACCGAGTTAAGGCCAGCTTTGAGCTTTCTCTCAAAAGCCATTTTGTAGAGAAATGATAGATCTTTTTAATAGTTTAGGACGCAACAAATTTAGTAAAGGATTCTTTCCCCATGGAAACAAAAGTTTGACAAAAATCGTAGACTTATGCACTAACCTAATAGTTAGAAGCCAGCTCCAGCCAGATCCAAGCCTGGCTTTTGGCCCTGCCTTTTTTTTTTCCAGAAGCCGGCATGAACCGACTTGACTTACGGCCTTGCTAGTAAGCCAAGAGGCTAGAATTTTACAGTCACTTCTTTAAGCAACAATAACAAAAATGATTTCTTGTCCAAAGCAACTGTTATCTCAAAAATCTCACTTCTTCTCGGTGGCCGGCAACGTGTTAATTCTGTCCCGAATACTCAAATCCACAACCCGATTCCGCGGAGGATGATGATGAGACAATCCGGGCATCACTGGCCTGAAATTTCATAAAATTTAAAAAGCAATTTTCCTTTCCACTTGAAACTATTGACAGTTCCTTAAAGAAAAGAGTTTCCACCAAAAGACAACGAGTTTCTCTTGAAACGATCGCATTTCATGCGTTCAAAAAAACGTGAAAAGAGAGAGGAAAGTGCCAAACATTTGAGAGTCTCACAATATGATTTCTTGAAATTTATTCAATTACCCATTGTTGTTTTGTGGGTGTTCGCTGAAATGGTATTTGAGAGTGAAGATTTGGTTGAACAGCAAAACTGAGTAAACTTAACACTTGAAGAATTTGTCTGTGAAATTATTGTTTCCAACCAAACCAAATACTCCTCTGCTTTGGTTCACTTACCCATTTCCGAGCTTCTTTTTCTTTTCAGCTTCACGCTCGATGATCCGGTTGAGCTTATCGTGGATATCAGCAGCTACCTGAAAGATGTGACAAGTCATAAATTAATAATTCAATCAATATCCTGGTTCCATCTAGTAATAGGCTAATCAAGCTCGTAGTGAACTAGTTACGATACAAAGTGTTCAATATTTATGAGAACTTTTGAGTTTGAAGGTTATTTAGCGCTTCTAAAATCGGTTTCTGAAAAAATCAATTAAGAAAGCACTGATTTATAAAGTTTGAACAAACATGAAATGCTCATTTACTTTTACTGTTTACTCAATTTGTTATGCGAAAAACCGTTGGAACCTGATTACTAAATTCCACTGATAATTCAGACCTAGTTATTCTTGTTTAATGATGAGAAATTCTTCATTATTTATCAGTTTTCAAATTTATGGGGCATTAAAAACGTTGGAAACATATTTCAGTTTTGATTCTTTCAAGAAAAATTTCAAGTTTATGACAAACTCGATGTATCCTACCACAGTAAACGCTTTCCACGAGAGTTTCTAGACAAACATCAACGTGAAAGACAAGAATTTTGAAAAAAGGTGACTTAAATTTCTTAAAGCATATGTGTTTGATATGTTTGTTTCTTTTTTAACGTTAGATTTGTACAAAACGAGCTTTAAACCTAGTGATCTATTGGTTCCCATAAATATAGGACACTTTGTAGCAAGTTACGTGTCAAACTCACAAATTACTGGGGACATTATACTCGAGAGTAACAAGAAGTACTAATTATTCATCAAGTTTCCGCTTTATAAATTGTAAAACAAGAATCTTAACCAAGTGTATGAGCAAAACGACTCACCTCCTCATTCTCGCATTGTGCCCATAACTCACAAGCGCCCATCGGACTCCCTCTACCCATTCGGATCAAGAAATACTTCTCACAGCAACCAAACGTAGCAATGTATTTTCTCTGTAAATATTACTGATTCGGTTTCATCTATGAAAAATATAAAATGTTACATGAATAGATATTTAATCATACTATAGATTTAAATATGAATATTTAAGCAAAGATTTAAACACTTACCGATAATTCGATGAAATCCTCAGTAGCGAATGGAGGTACTCCTTCATCGGGCAATAAATTAGCTGTCACTGACTCGATTCGCCGTTTGCACAGGATGATTGTGTGAGCGTAGAAGCACAATCTAAAGATAATAAAATAATAAAATTTTGACAATTACTCATACCTGTAATCTTTCAATCATTTTGTTCTAAGCGCTGGTTAATGCTGAAAATATGCGTTATATCTCAAAAAATCAACCATCCTCTCTACTTTAATTTGATACCTAAGCGCGTAAAAACAAACGTACTAGTGTCGAGATATGAGCGTTTGTTTGAGAGCAAACTTAGACTACGCGACGCTCCTTTAGGGGTTCTTCTATTAGAGCTTTTATGGTATGTAAATTTTACTCGAATAATTATTTACTCGCAAGGAACACACTCACCTCTTTGGTCCGCTGAGTCCAGGTGTTTTCTCACACATATTCGGGGTCGGCTCCTCGGTTTTTGAGGCAGCTGGAGCTCGTTTTAACTTTGGTTGTTGAACTATTTCCACGTCCCAAACGTATTCTAAAGCTTTTTATTGAAAAGTGAACAATAAAGGATTGACTAAATTAGAGTCAAGGCTTGAAAAAGAAATGAACACACCAAAGAATTCAAGCGGTTGCACGGGTCGTCCCAATCGAGTAGCTCTGGCTGGGATCAACGCGTCGAGAATCGCCGAGTACCAATCATTCGTCGAGTTCTCGTTTTCACCCTAAAGCTGATTTACTCGGATTTACTAGTTGACTTTTTTCTCATCAATTATTGCAAATCATTTCCATCATTCAAATTTTGTGTATTTCTTTGCTTTTTTTTGACAGCTTTTCAAAGTTTTTATTGTTTTAAAGAGCTTTATTTTCAGTTTAGAATACCGAAATTCCGATTTCTGCTCATGGACTTTGTATTTTCACATGTTTTTCCCGAAAAAACCCGGGTGAAATGATGTTTCAGCGTGTTGACACAAAGCTAACCTTTATCAGAAGGGCGTCATCGGGTCCGCTCAGGCACATGCAACGCTTCATCTTTGGATCAAACTAAACTTTTCTTTTGCGTGCTTTCGGAAAATCCAATGTGCTCAGTCTTTTGCAAACGTTTTCTTTCTGACGCATTGAATTTTGCAACAACGCTGCCAAAAGATGTACTTTCCCATGTTTTAGCACAAAGAACGTCCCTTTTTGAGTCACTCATTAATTTTTCACCAAAATTTTCTGATCTTTCTCTTCTACAGATTTTTTTTGGGCTTAAAAAAATGACGGTTTCCCTGGAGATTGAGGATGAAATTTTCACTTATTCATTCTGTGATCTCAAATTTTGTGTTTAAAAAAAAACATTTCTCTTAACGATAAGCCGCCGATTATTTGCCCCGGAAATGTGTTTATTTGAAAATTTGAAAATGGAATTTGAGTTGTGTTTCGAATTGGGAATTTGATTTGGAAATGGGTTTTCGGAAGTGATGGAAATGGGAACAAGGAAGGAGAGAACTTTCGGAGATCAGCTTTGAAATAAATTTTGAAGATAACAGATTTTCAGGTACATTTTTAGTTCTAGAATCGATTTAAGATATAATTTAAGATTTTAATGAACAAACAGTCTGTACATCTTGGGATGGTTGTAGCGCTACAGTAGTTGGACTTAAAGGAAGTCCAAAGATATGGAAATGTTATAGATATTATGAAAAAAAGACTTATAGTTGCTGTAAGGTTAGAGGTTCGATAAAACACTGAAGGAGGAAGAAGGCAAAGGCACACTTCATAGTACAGTATTTTCTCTAATAGCAGTGCACTCCAGCAAGCCGAGTTGGTGACTATTTTACGGTTCCAAAGTTTTCACAGAAGCTCAACACTTAAATCCCCCAGAAGATCTCATTGTCAGCTACATTTTCCGATCCCACATCGATAGGTTCTGATAAGCGGTTCTCGAGATTTCGAGGAATTTAGGCGACGCTCTAGGTGCACTACTATTAGAGAAAATACGGTATTTGTTTTTTTGGACACTTACATGATCAGTGTGAACATTGAATGCCACTGAGAGGTCAATCGTGTGCTTTGGTGGTTTCTTCTTTCGATAAGTCTTCTCACTCTCGTGCAACTCAAGCGCTCGCTCCACCAGCACTGCATAGAATGACTTCTTGGATTTCTGGAAAAATTATTCTTTTTCAAAATGGAATCAAATGTCAATATTGAATCGTCTTGGAAGATTTAGAAAGTATTTGAGTTTACCCAGTTAGTCTAACTGATCTCTATTTGGAGCTTTTTTAACAGAAAATTAAAACTAAACAAAGTACTGATTAAAAAATCAATTACTCAATTTAATCAAATCGATTTCATCAATTAAAAAAAATCAATTACAAGTTTATCAAATTCTGAAGTTAAAGCTTAAAGCTTGTTGCTAATCAACTCACCACTGGCGTCCATCCACAAGAAATGACACCACTTTTCAGCACTCCTGGCTCCTCCTCAAGCAGTGTTGAAGGCATTCTGAAATTTATAGATAATTTACAGATAATTTCCAATTTATTTTCCTTTCCAAAAGCTTTGCCACTTTCCAAAAATTTTCAATATTTTCCGGACACAAAGAGAGGACACATTTAAGTCATAGTCACCGAAAAATCGGCGAATCTTGTTTACCCGGAGGTGCAGAGGGGAGAATTTCAGAGGAAACTAGCAAAACTTTGATTAATTTGAAAAAATCTCTCTTGTTAATTGATTCTTAAGAAAAAATGTGAGATTTTGGAAAATTTGAGGGAATATTAAACAAAAGCTGGAAGAGAGTTTGTGTGTTCTTTAGAATTTGGTTGAAAAAAAGCGTTATCTGGCATGCTGAATGATCCGTAAATTAAATATTTTGGCTTAAAAGAAACGATAGATTGGGTTTCGTTTTCTAAAAGGTACCTCTAGAAAAAGCTATAGTAATGGAGAGAAAAAAGCTATAGCTATAGTAATGGATTGTGTGTTCTTTCTTGGCCACAGGCAACGGGAGAAACAAATGCCACCTGGTACACTATTTGGAAAGGCGGAAATTGAAGAGTTTTGTCGAAAATGTAAATCTTGATCATTAGAAAAGCCAAATGAAACTCGGAAATGAATCAAGTTCTGCAGAATTGCAGAACTTGATTCATTAGCACCTAATTAAGACCAATCCCACCCACAAGAAACTATCTTTTTCTGATTCAGAGAATGTTTTTTTGTCTCTTGATTCAATCAACCGTGAATATCAGCAATAAAATGAGTTCGTTTTCATTTTTTTTCAGCTCAAATATGGTAATTGAGTCTCTCTCCCGAGTGTGGAAATTTCATTAACGAGACACAAAAGTTGAACTCACAAAACAACAAAGTTTTTAGGGAGAAAAGATTAAAAATCAATCCACAATTTCCACAGAAATTTGCTCGAAAAACAACAAAAAAGAGGATTAAGCTTGAACAGAATGATGTCATTGCAAATCGGAAAGGATAAACTTCCAAAAACTCACCGAAATGAGCCTGATTAGAGAAAGAGCAAACAAGATGGTGCAATAAAAGAGCGGATTTTAGGAATAGGATTGCAAAAAGCTTTAGTACTTTGGTTTTTTTACCAAATTAGACAGCTTATTGTAGATATTACAAATTAGAGATAGATTACAGTACTTCAAGTAGCTGTAGCTAAATTTCTGTAACTTTAGCCTTCTAGAAAACGAAAACATTCCCTTTCCAGTTGAACCCAGGAACTACGAGATTGTTCTAGTTTGGGAAAACAATTTGATTAGATAGCTTTAAAACACAAAACTACGAGCTCTTGACTACTCAGCTTTTCATCTGGCAAACGGTCTAGAGTCTTGAAAAGTCTTGGTTTAATTACCCAACTCCGGGTAAACGTCTAGCACCTGGCTACTTGGCCGACTTAGTTCAGTTACCCAACTATCTCAGAGCTTCAAGTAAATTCTGATTCAATTACTCAATTCCTGGAATTCCTAGCATTTGGCTAACCTAGAGCAAATTCTGGTTTAATTACGCAACCCATAGAGTTCTAAAGGGCGCAGTGAAGTAACTATAAAATACTCAAGCTTTATTTATTGTTAGGAGTATTCAATGGTGTTTCTTTAACGTACTGTAGATAACAAATTAGACAGCTTATTGTAGAATTAGACAGCTTATTGTAGAATTAGACAGCTTATTGTAGAACAAATTAGACAGCTTAAATTAGACATAGATTACAGTACTTCAACTATTGTAGGGAGAAAAGATCACTCACCTCGTTTTCTCTATTTTCTTCGTCTTCGCTGTAGCGCCAAAAAATTCATGAAATCGTGCCAATCAGCGAGAAGAAAATAAGCTAAAATTATAAAATTTAAGAAAAGATAAAGAAATTTCTTTGAGAACAAAGAACATTGAAGAAATCATTTTAAGAATCATTTTAAGAATCCTTGTTTTCTCGGCGAGGGCAAAAATTCAAATGCCGGAAAAAAAACGAGAAAAACAAGGACTCTTTCCAGGAAAAATCGTTCGCGTGAATGAAAATGAATAAAAAGAAAAATGAGAGAGAAAAATATGGGGGCTTTATTCTGAAACAGAGATAATGGAAAGAGGAGACAATCTTTGGCGCCTCTGATCGGAAAAGACACACAGCATTCCCCCTTTCCAGTTGGCTCCAGGAACTACGAGATTGTTCTAGTTTGGGAAAACAATTTGATTAGATAGCTTTAAAACATAAAACTACGAGCTCTTGCCTACTCAGCTTTTCATCTACCAAACGGTCTAGAGGCTGAAAAGTCTTGGTTTAATTACCCAACTCCAGGTAAACGTCTAGCACCTGGCTACTTGGCCGATTTAGTTCAGTTACCCAACTGTCTCAGAGCTTCAAGTAAATTCTGATTCAATTACTCAATTCCTGGAATTCCTAGCATTTAGCTAACCTAGAGCAAATTCTGGTTCAATTACGCAACCCATAGAGTTCTAAAGGGCGCAGTGAAGTAACTATAAAATATTCAAGCTTTATTTATTGTTAGGAGTATTCAATGGCGTTTCTTTAACGTTTATAACGTTCCTTTAACGTTTATTTTGCACTAGTTCTTTGCAGGATGATGTCATTGCAAGTCGGAAAGGATAAACTTCCAAAAACTCACCCAAATGAGCCTGATTAGAGAAAGAGCAAACAAGATGGTGCAATAAAAGAGCAGGTTTTAGGAATAGGATTGCAAAAAGCTTTAGTATTTTGGGTTTTTTAAACAAATTAGACAGTTTATTGTAGATATTACAAATTAGAGATAGATTACAGTACTTCAAGTAGCTGTAGCTAAATTTCTGTAACTTTAGCCTTCTAGAAAACGAAAGATAAGCTAAAGAATCTATTGGGAAAACTTTAAATAACAAATTTATAGCTAAAAATCTCTATTTGAGATAATATGTGTTGCTAAAATAGAAATAGAAACTAAAGTAGAAATAGAAACTAAAATACAATAAAAACTAAAATAAAATAAAAACTAATATAAAATAGAAACTAAAATAGAAATAGAAACTAAACTAAAATAGAAACTAAAACAAAATAGAAACTAAAATAAAAACTAAACTAAAATAAAATAAATACAAAAACCGTGGGTGGATTTTATTCGATTTTTATTCGAATCCAAAATGAGAGAATAGTTGAAAGAAATGAAAAGAGAAAATCGACTAAAAGAAATTCTTTTCTCGGCTCCTATTTTATGATTTTGTTTTGACTTTGAGAAATACGTTTAAAACATTCGCTTTCTGTATATCGAATTTTCTTTTCTCTCTTTTTTTTAGTTTTAAAAGTTCATCAGCTTAGCTGAAAGAAGTTTAAGTTTAAGTAAGTTTTAAGTATGTTTTAAGTAAGTTTTAAGTAAGTTTAAGTAAGTTTAAGTAAGTTTAAGTTTAAGTTTAAGTTTAAATTTATGTTTAAGTAAGTTTTTCTAAGCCTTAGGTAAATAAATCTGAATTTAAGATGATCTTTACTTGCATACTATACGCTAGAAAGAGTGGGTTTCTAAATTTGAACACAAAGTACAAATAAGAAAGCTGATTTGGAAGTGGAAATATAATCGACTTGGGACAGGATCTTTGAATCATTGCCTTAGTTACCCAAAGCTTTAGTCGTTCAAACAAACCAACAAAGCTTACAATAATCGTTTCGAGTAAACGACTCAAATAGTTACAATAAGTTTTCTTTTAAATACAGATAAGAAAGCTGATTTGAAAGCGGAAATATAATCGACTTGGGACAGGATCTTTGAATCATTGACTTAATTACTCAAAGCTTTAGTCTTTAGTCTTTTCAGATTCTAAAAGTTTACGATAAGCTAACAATTAACAAAATATTATCAGAACTTTGCCCTTCCTAATTCTTAAAAATGCAACGAATATTTTTGCTAAAAAAAACTAGGAAATAGAAATAATTATAGATATTTTTTTGTTATTACTCATGAAACAGATGAGCAAATAGAGGACAAAATTTCTTTCGTAATAATTTCCGGTCACTTGTTTTCAGAAAAAAAAAAACTGTTGCCTTGATAAATAAAGGATATGAGAAATTAATAATATGCAGAAATGGTGGTTTGAAACAAAATTAGGGGAAATTAGAGAAGATTCAAACGTGAGAAAGTTGAAAAAACGATTGGCCTCTTGATAACCCAAACTATTACAACTATTATGTAGTTTATTAGTATGAGAATATATTGAAAAAGATAAACCTAACATTAGCTGAATCTTTGAATAGTTAGAACTACAGAAATCTGTAAGACTAGAAAGTTAAAATAATATTTTTGTTACCACAAGTAGATTCAATATTGACCATCTTACGATTTACATACCGTAAATACTGTAATTGGCCCGCACCCCCCTCGTACAGCCGCGTAGTCGCAAAAGCTTTTTAGTATTTCATTTTTTTCAAAGCGCTCGTACTTTCAAAAAATGCGCCTTTGGTATCAAAAAATAGCCCTGAATTTCAGCTATTTTTTGATACCAAAGCGCGCATTGTAGCATAGACCAGTGTCGAGAAAAACGCGTCCAAAGCTAGACTACGCAACACTCCGCACCGTCATTATGGGGGTCGGGTACTATTTTAGTATTTACGGTATGTAAATTTTGTGATAGGATTAGAACGAACTAAACGATTAGTAACTATCATAGATATCAATAATTAGATAACAAAATAACCATTGCTATTTTGAGCTTTGGTTTTACAGAGCTTCATCACTGAGACAGTGCAAATGTAAGCATAAAACCCAGTGAATTTTCAGGATAACCTTGCTAACTTGAACTTACGCTTTACAGAGCTTTACAATACATTAAAACATTAAACCCATTCAATTGATACAAACTAACTTTTGCAGAACAAAACAAATACTATTGCAACCATAAAGAATTATGTAAACGTTGCAAATTTATGAAATCCTAAATCCTAAAACATTTGTATCCAAGTTCTTGCTCAAAAACATTTAGCAAAGAGACACCTTTCTACGTCATTTTCAATTCAATAAACGAATATAAAATGGGAGATAATTTGAGAAAAGAATTGATAATCTCAAAAAGATATTTATGCAATGAAATGAGAAAACTTGTTTTCCTACAAAGCCACAAAACTCCCGGATTAGCGAGAGGATTTTTGAGCATGTTTTTAAGATTTATTTTGATTTATGGGACTTGCTTGACCTCGATAACATAAAATATAAAAACAAAAAATGATGATTAGCCGTGAGATCGTGGGAGATTGCTTGGGAAATTAGGAAAAGAGAAAAGTCAGATGACTGCGAAATATTCGATGAGTGGGTGAGTGGGAAAAAGTTCACTGTAGGGAATATTTGATCGGTTTGCCAAGTCTCAAAAACACTACACGGTTGCCCACAATTATAGCGCTACACTTCAGAGGGTCTAGATTAGTCAAAATTGTCAATCATTTTGATTTTTCTGGAAAATGAAATCAAAGTCCCATAATTTTATGCCATTGTTTATGAGAAGAAAGAATCAGTGTACTAGAGAAGGTGTAACTAATTTTGCACAAAGTATACTTTGAGGATCGAGATTTGAACGCTATAGCGTTCAAATTCTAACTATAGCGTTCTAAGGTAGCGCGCTACCTTACCTCGTAAAGTTTTTCTTGTAAACGCACTCGACCTGGCGCATCAATTCCCGTTAAACTATAATATCAAATGAAATATACAGTATTCAAATGTTCAGTTTTAAGTTGACTTACAATATCTTTAGCTTTATGAAGAGAATAGAAAATACAGCGTGATCCACAAGAGTAATAAAATTCCAATGCACTAGAAAGGATGGGTTTCTATTTACTAAGCACAAAGTACAGAGTACACAGATTAAATAGCTGTAAATTCTTCAGTGGAACTCTTAGAACGCTGATCAATTGAAATCCATACTCAGAATCTGAAAATATTCATTTGAACTTCCGCATTTCTCTCCTAAAAGACCAAAGCTGGTCGCGAAAAAAATTGGCGTTCATTGATCGCAAAAAAAGACATGAAAAAGTACGGGACGTGACTTTTTGAAAGGCTTTTTCTTTTTCTTTTTTCTTTTTTTACGAATCTTTACTATTTTTGTCAATCCAACTTAATTAGATTTTTCAATCAACATTTCTGAATAGAGAAATGGGAAAAGAATGATGAGTAAGCTAATTTCCAATTATGGGACCATTTCTCAACCAGATCAAGATCTGACATGGCGTCTCTTAAAGAAGCAAGCTTAGCGGCTTCATCTTTGATGGGGATTTTAAAGGTTAGTTTAGCGTCATCACCATAAAGCCAGATAGATGAGTCCCTAGATGAAAAATTTAATTCAGCTAAATCATTAATGTAAATTGTAAAAAGTATAGGATCCAGAATACTTCCTTGGGGTACACCGCTAGCTTACCAAGAGTTCTTTAAGGCCGTGAATCAAAAACAACGCAAGCACTATCAGCTTGAAGCTGTGTTTTTAGATTTTGCTAAAGGTTAATTTTTAAAGGTTAGTTTAGCGTCATCACCATAAAGCCAGATAGATGAGTCCCTAGATGACTTTTTGAAAGGCTTTTTCTTTTTCTTTTTTCTTTTTTTACGAATCTTTACTATTTTTGTCAATCCAACTTAATTAGATTTTTCAATCAACATTTCTGAATAGAGAAATGGGAAAAGAATGATGAGTAAGAGTTTGAGAAAAGTTGCAAATCGGATTGAAAGAACATTAGCTTTTACTTTTCATCTTGTAAATATAAATTATTGAAAAATTGATTTACTTTAATCATTTCTAAATAAATATAATTACTATTTTGTTTGTTATTATTAGAATAAAGAAGGAAAAGCAGACGAACACTACTATGGATTGTATTTTTCATTCTCTTCATAAAGCTAAAGATATTGTAAGTCAACTTAAAACTGAACACCTGAATACTGTATATTTCATTTCATATTGTAATTCAAGAATTGGTGCACCAGGTTGAGTGCGTTTACAAGAAAAACTTTACGAGGTAAGGTAGCGTTCAAATCTCGATCCTCAAAGTATACTTTGTGCAAAATTAGTTACACTTTCTCTGTAGTTCAACGGGGAATTGTAAAGTCCCTCTACGCATTGTAGTTCAACGGGGAATTGTAAAGTCCCTCTACGCAAATGTGATCACATTTTCCCATCAATGAACGATCTTGGATCTCAGCCAAAATCCTCCAGGGGAAAATAAAGAAATAAGAAATAAAAAAACCAGCCTAGCCAGTTCAAAAACGGCGTCTCTGTGATTCACTTGAATGTTGAAAAGAAAAAGAGAGACAAACAAGTTTTACACTCACATCTGACTGAAGAAAGATTCATTTTATTGTCGTTCCTTTCTCCTTTCCCTTTCATCGTTTCCTGGATATTCCAATAGGGGACAAAGTTCATCTCACAAATAACCAACCGAGTGAAATTAAAAATGAAATTCCACAAATATATGTTTATGGAAATGCATTGTTAAC